TGTCTTGAATGACAGACACAACCAGATATATGGACATGTCTTGAATGACAGACACAACCATATATGTGGACATGTTTTGAATGACAGACACAACCAGATATGTGGACATGTCTTGAATGACAGACACAACCAGATATGTGGACATGTCTTGAATGACAGACACAACCAGATATGTGGACATGTCTTGAATGACAGACACAACCAGATATGTGGACATGTCTTGAATGACAGACACAACCAGATATGTGGACATGTCTTGAATGACAGACACAACCAGATATGTGGACATGTCTTGAATGACAGACACAACCAGATATATGGACATGTCTTGAATGACAGACACAACCAGATATATGGACATGTCTTGAATGACAGACACAACCAGATATGTGGACATGTCTTGAATGACAGACACAACCATATATGTGGACATGTCTTGAATGACAGACACAACCAGATATGTGGACATGTCTTGAATGACAGACACAACCAGATATGTGGACATGTCTTGAATGACAGACACAACCAGATATGTGGACATGTCTTGAATGACAGACACAACCAGATATATGGACATTTCTTGAATGACAGACACAACCATATATGTGGACATGTCTTGAATGACAGACACAACCAGATATGTGGACATGTCTTGAATGACAGACACAACCAGATATTTGGACATATTTTGAATGACAGACACAACCAGATATGTGGACATGTCTTGAATGACAGACAAAACCAGATATGTGTACATGTCTTGAATGACAGACACAACCAGATATGTGGACATGTCTTGAATGACAGACACAACCAGATATGTGGACATGTCTTGAATGACAGACACAACCAGATATGTGGACATGTCTTGAATGACAGACACAACCAGATATATGGACATGTCTTGAATGACAGACACAACCAGATATATGGACATGTCTTGAATGACAGACAAAACCAGATATATGGACATGTCTTGAATGACAGACACAACCAGATATGTGGACATGTCTTGAATGACAGACACAACCAGATATGTGGACATGTCTTGAATGACAGACACAACCAGATATGTGGACGTTGAAGAGGTGTAGGCTGATACCTGCTGGCAGCTGATGTTCTATCTTGTAATCTGAGACACCGGAGAGAGACTTGTGTGTATTCAAACAACAATTATTGGAGTGCAGACAATGTACAGGCCTCTCTTTGTAATTACAATGGCCTTGACGAGCGGTAGTTATTTACAAATGAATAACCTGAGTACTTAAGTGGCAGGTGAAATATTGTGACAGAGGACATGTTCAGATGACCTCTGTGGGACTAAAAAATACATGTAGATCTAGATTTGAGGCGTAAGACTTCTGAGGGCTATCTGAGATAAGACTGTTGTCTGGAATGTTTTGTACTGCCGCTGATAGAGGATGATAATACTTAGAATGAATGAGAACTTGCTCCCAGTTACTGCCCTGACCAGACATCATGATGTACAGTCAACTTAGGTATATTTATCTTAGGTATATTTATCTTAGGTATATTTATCTCAGAAACACAAGATGAGGTGGGGTAGCCAAGTGGTTAAAGTGTTTGCTCGTCACACCAAAGGCCCGGTTTCCATTCCCTTCAGGCATAAATTGTGTGAAGCCCATTTCTTGTGTCCCCCGCTGTGATATTACTGGAATATTGCTGTAAACAGCTTAAACAATCCTGATTACTCTGAACCATATGTACCTGATGTGACTCTGACTACTCTGAACTATATGTACCTGATGTGACTGACTACTCTGAACCATATGTAACTGATGTGACTGACTACTCTGAACCATATGTAACTGATGTGACTGACTACTCTTAACCATATGTACCTGATGTGACTTTGACTACTCTGAACCATATATACCTGATGTGACTGATTACTCTGAACCATATGTACCTGATGTGACTCTGACTACTCTGAACCATATGTAACTGATGTGACTCTGACTACTCTGAACCATATGTCCCTGATGTGACTCTGATTACTCTGAACCATATATACCTGATGTGACTCTGATTACTCTGAACCATATGTACCTGATGTGACTCTGATTACTCTGAACCATACGTAACTGATGTGACTCTGACTACTCTGAACCATATGTACCTGATGTGACTCTGATTACTCTGAACCATATATACCTGATGTGACTCTGATTACTCTGAACCATATGTACCTGATGTGACTCTGACTACTCTGAACCATATATACCTGATGTGACTCTGATTACTCTGAACCATATATACCTGATGTGACTCTGACTACTCTGAACCATACGTAACTGATGTGACTCTGACTACTCTGAACCATATGTACCTGATGTGACTCTGATTACTCTGAACCATATGTAACTGATGTGACTGACTACTCTGAACCATATGTACCTGATGTGACTCTGACTACTCTGAACCATATGTACCTGATGTGACTGACTACTCTGAACCATATGTAACTGATGTGACTGACTACTCTGAACCATATGTACCTGATGTGACTCTGATTACTCTGAACCATATGTACCTGATATGACTCTGATTACTCTGAACCATATGTACCTGATGTGACTGATTACTCTGAACCATATGAACCTGATGTGACTCTGATTACTCTGAACCATATGTACCTGATGTGACTCAGACTACTCTGAACCATATGTACCTGATGTGACTAATTACTCTGAACCATATGTACCTGATTTGACTGATTACTCTGAACCATATGTACCTGATGTGAATCGGATTACTCTGAACCATATGTACCTGATGTGACTCTGATTACTCTGAACCATATGTACCTGATGTGATTCTGACTACTCTGAACCATATGTACCTGATGTGACTCTGATTACTCTGAACCATATGTACCTGATTACTCTGAACCATATGTACCTGATGTGACTGATTACTCTGAACCATATGTACCTGATGTGACTGATTACTCTGAACCATATGTAACTGATGTGACTCTGACTACACTGAATTATATGTACCTGATGTGACTCTGACTACTCTGAACCATATGTACCTGATGTGACTCTGACTACTCTGAACCATATGTACCTGATGTGACTCTGACTACTCTGAACCATATGTACCTGATGTGACTGACTACTCTGAACCATATGTAACTGATGTGACTGATTACTCTGAACCATATGTACCTGATGTGACTGATTACTCTGAACCATATGTACCTGATGTGACTGATTACTCTGAACCATATGTACCTGATGTGACTCTGATTGCTCTGAACCATATATAACTGATGTGACTCTGACTACTCTGAACCATATGTACCTTATGTGACTGACTACTCTGAACCATATGTACCTGATGTGACTGACTACTCTGAACCATATGTACCTGATGTGACTGATAATTCTGAACCATATGTACCTGATGTGACTGATTACTCTGAACCATATGTACCTGATGTGACTCTGACTACTCTGAACCATATGTACCTGATGTGACTCTGATTACTCTGAATCATATGTACCTGATGTGACTCTGACTACTCTGAACCATATGTACCTGATGTGACTTAGACTACGCTGAACCATATGTGCCTCACTCAGAGGCTTTGTTTCACAGACGATCAGTCAGATCGGTAATAAGTAGTTTAAACCTTCACTCACTCTCTCACTCGGAGGCTTTGTTTCACAGACAGTCAGTCAGATCGGTAATAAGTAGTTTAAACCTTCACTCACTCACTCACTCACTCGAAGGCTTTGTGTCACAGACAATCAGTCAGATCGGTAATAAGTAGTTTAAACCTTCACTCACTCACTCACTCACTCGGAGGCTTTGTGTCACAGACGATCAGTCAGATCAGTAATAAGTAGTTTAAACCTTCACTCACTCACTCACTCACTCACTCACTCGATGGCTTTGTTTCACAGACAAACAGTCAGATCGGTAATAACTAGTTTAAACCTTCACTCACTCACTCGGAGGCTTGGTTACACAGACAAACAGTCAGATCGGTAATAAGTAGTTTAAACCTTCACTCACTCACTCACTCACTCGGAGGCTTTGTTTCACAGATAAACAGTCAGATCGGTAATAACTAGTTTAAACCTTCACTCACTCTCTCACTCGGAGGCATTGTTTCACAGACAGTCAGTCAGATCGGTAATAAGTACTTTAAACCTTCACTCACTCTCTCACTCGGAGGCTTTGTTTCACAGACAGTCAGTCAGATCAGTAATAAGTAGTTTTAACTTTCACTCACTCACCCGGAGGCTTTGTTTCACAGACAATCAGTGAAATTGGTAATAACTAGTTTAAACGTTCATTCACGTTGTCATTTTCGGTCCGTCTGTCCGTCCATCCATCCATCCATTCATCTGTCTGTGTGTCCATCCTCCCATCTTTCCATCTGTCTATCCACTACTCAAACGGGACAAATTTTCGCGAAAAGTAATTAAGTTTTGAGAAATTTTGAGAAATGCAATTTACACACTCATATTACTGATCATGATCTTGAAGGAGTTTGAAAATTGGTGTCTGAAATTCATTTTTTACAGAGTTATGGCCCTTGCTCTGTGCTCTTCAACTTCAAGAAACTGATCCCTTATGATATTTATTCCACAGTTACTTTCCTTGCTACATGTTTAGAGATTTTGTGCATACACCAATTACGGCCCTTAATTCGTGTTATTTTACAAAGTGCATTGTGTCTGCAATGGGGACACGTTTTTCTCTGAAACTATTGAAATTAGCTTTTCTTAACAAGACTGAGTTTGAGAATTGGTGCCATATATAATTTTTCCAGAGAAGGGACCTTTTGTGTGTAATTATTCCACTTTTAATCATTTTTTCTGATGACATAAAGCGGCCCTCTTCTTAAGGCTTTATTGGACTCTTTTTTTTATAGTTTATCTTCACTACTATATGTACAAACAAATTCTAGTGTGCCCCATGGCGGAGGATAGTGATAACACTGTTTTCTTGTTTTTTCACAGACAATCAGCCGTGCCAGTAGCCGGCGGTCAAGAAGGGGAAGTGCGACCTCCAGGAACCAGGACAGAGGTCATAGTTCAGAGAGTGAGGAAGATGGGGATGGCCGGGATATTAACTCTGAAATGGAGCTCCGGACAGTGGACATCCATGACGACAAAGCATGGGACACAGACCTTGAAGGAGAAGGTAGGCGTTATCATATCAAATGTCTAGGTCACTTAATAATGTTCAGCATACACAATATCATGTAAGTGCTTGAAATTGTCATGTGATTTACTATAATTTATCCTATCAACCGCAGATTTGTCTTATCTAGGCTCGATATCGCAGTGGTATGGCTGTAATAATGCATGGTATGGCTGTAATAATGCATGGTATAGCTGTAATAATGAATGGTATAGCTGTAAAAATGCATGGTATAGCTGTAAAAATGCATGGTATAGCTGTAATAATGCATGGTATGGCTGTAATAATGCATGGTATAGCTGTAATAATACATGGTATAGCAGTAAAAATGCAGTGGTTCAGCTGTAATAATGCTGGTATAGCTGTAATAATGCATGGTATCGCTGTAAAAATGCAGTGGTTCAGCTGTAATAATGCATGGTATAGCTGTAATAATGCATTGGTGCAGATGTAATAATGCAGTGGTTCAGCTGTACTAATGCAGTGGTTCAGCTGTAATAACGCAGAAGCTGGAGTAATATAGCATTCACTCACCCAATTTTATTTGACTTTTATTTCCCAGAATCCTCCACATCATACGACCATACCGGTAAAACAGCGTACATCGAGTGTTGCAAGCGGCTCGGCATCATCCCGGCCTCATACTTCCTGCGACACATGCAGGAAAAGGAACTGGTGATGAAGCACCATGGTCTTGGCGCCCAAGGGATGAAGGCCATCGCCATGGCACTAGTGGTGAGTGGGCTCACGCTGACAAGTTTCCCTATGTGGTCCAGTGTCATTACCACCATTAGTATCTCTCTCCTCGGAGCCTGGCCTGACCAACCCTCCACAGGTAGCATAGCGGGTAAACTGCATTATCAGCCAGTAAGCATGGAGGCAATATAATCAGTACAAGAAGGCGAAGCATTCGGAGCTGCATACTTCTTTTCTGTATCTCAAAAACAAATGTAAACAGGCAGTTCTAAATGGAGAATACTACTTGAAGTGCTATGTTGCGGCAGCTGCCCATGTTGTCAGTCACTGGTTTGCCTGGTCTAAACTTGATTATTTACAGGCCACCGTCATAAAGCTGAAATATCGCTGACATTAAACAGCCTTCACTCACTAACTCATTCCTTCACTTTCAGACCACTTAAAAATATATTCCATTGAAATGTTAGTTGTGAGAAAGGTTCCAGCCAATGTACTATTGGATTAGATGTACTGGTGGGTACAATGTAATGAAACACACAGCCGAGGTTGGATTAGATCTAATGGTGGGTTCAGTGTAATGAAACACACAGCCGAGGTTGGATTAGATGTACTGGTGAGTTCAGTGTAATGAAACACACAGCCGAGGTTGGATTAGATGTACTGGTGGGTTCAGTGTAATGAAACACACAGCCGAGGTTGGATTAGATGTACTGGTGGGTACAATGTAATGAAACACACAGCCGAGGTTGGATTAGATGTAATGGTGAGTTCAATGTAATGAAACACACAGCCAAGGTTGGATTAGATGTACTGGTGAGTTCAATGTAATGAAACACACAGCCGAGGTTGGATTAGATGTACTGGTGGGTTCAGTGTAATGAAACACACAGCCGAGGTTGGATTAGATGTACTGGTGGGTACAATGTAATGAAACACACAGCCGAGGTTGGATTAGATGTAATGGTGAGTTCAATGTAATGAAACACACAGCCAAGGTTGGATTAGATGTACTGGTGGGTACAATGTAATGAAACACACAGCCGAGGTTGGATTAGATGTACTGGTGAGTTCAATGTAATGAAACACACAGCCGAGGTTGGATTAGATGTACTGGTGGGTACAATGTAATGAAACACACAGCCGAGGTTGGATTAGATGTAATGGTGGGTACAATGTAATGAAACACACAGCCAAGGTTGGATTAGATGTACTGGTGGGTACAATGTATGCATGATGCTGATGACTTGCCTGTACTCCAGTCTAACACCACAGTCCTGAACGTCAACCTGCGAGACAACTGGCTGGGGTCGACAGGAGGCTTTGCAATCTGTGACATGCTCAAGGAGAACTGCTTCATCACTGAGATTGTAAGTATTGTAATAAAGTTGCCAGCTATATATAATTGTGCCCTTAGGGACTGGTCATTTATTATAGAGGAGGTGAAAAATGACAGGGAGAGTGGGTGGTTGCCAAAATTTATCACAACTACAAACAAAACATTACTCAGTTCAATTTAAAAAAATAAGAAAATGATAAATTTGAATCTTATTCAGGGACTAATAATTCCATATATTCCACAAACTCTAAAATGCATTGTTTTGTTATATTTGGATGTATACATAATAACATGTGACATTGGCTGATGTGAGTGTGCGATTCGCTGTGCAGAGTAATCTCATTAAAATAAGACCTTAGTGAGTGAGTGAGTGAGTGAGTATGTTTTTTACGCCGCTTTTAGCAATATTCCAGCAATATCACACATTGTACCCATGTCGGGAATCGAACCCGGGTCTTTGGCGTGACGCGCAAATGCTTTAACCACTAGGCTACCCGACCGCCCCCAGACCTTAGTTCTCGCTACCGCTAAACAAAGATCTGAAGACATCCCATTAGGGGTCACATCAGAACGACCTTTCATCCGACCAATCAGAACATGAAGCCAAGTCGCCAATTTGAAATTAGTGCCGTAAAGCACGAGAAAGCTGCCTTCTGATTGGTCATTCCATTGGTCGGTCAAAGTTCGCGCAAGGTCGGTCTGACTTGACCCGTAATGGGATGTCCTCAGATCTTTGTTTAGCGGTAGCCAGAACTAAGATCTGATTTTAATGAGATTGCTATGCAGAGTTGCGTCCCTTGGGCACGCCAGAAATCTATATTTGTGGGTTCGAATCCTGGTTCGCCCCGATTATGTTTCTAGGTTTGTCAGCACCATACCCGTGCTTGTGGGTTTCACCGAAGTGGTAAACGTCTGAGACCTGCATCACCTCGGGCTTTCCTCCCACATTAAGCTGACACGCCGTGATATAACTGGAAAAAAGCGGCGTTAACCAAACTCACTCACTCACTCACTAATGTGAATGTTGTACTTCCAGGATCTCTCTGACAATCGGCTGGGGACAGTGGTTGCTGCAGCTCTCAGTCAGATCCTTACCCAGAATGACACGTTACGCAGGGTCACGCTAGCAGGTCAGTACTTGGTGTATATACACGTAACAACATCAGGGACCAGTTGCTTAAAGGTCATGCTAGCAGGTCAGCACCGTGTGTATATACACGTAACAACATCAGGGACCAGTTGTTTAAAGGTCACGCTAGCAGGTCAGTACCTGGTGTATATACTCGTAACAACATCAGGGACCAGTCATTTAAAGGTCACGCTAGCTGGTCAGTACCTGGTGTATATACAGTGATCCCTCGCTATTAGGCTCTTGGATAAAGCGCTACCTCGGTTACTACGCGCGGTATCACATGGCTCCCAAAATTTATGTACACTTTTAATACTGAGAGTTTTACACAGCCGTGATTGTATAGTTGTTCGTTGTTCATTTGCACATAACGCTTCTTATCGCATAATCAACCGTTTATCGCTGAATGGAGTTCTAAAAATCTGTTTGAAAACATCTGCGGCAAGTCCCGGAAATACGATTGTTCTACTAGTTAACTTTTCACACTATACATCCTTTGATCTTAGAAGCGCATGCATGCAATAAAAGAGAACCACAAGCGAAGTTTATTTTCTTAATTAGTGGGCAATTCAATTTGAGGCGACACTGTCAACTCACATGTAGTTGCTGTCACAACACAGCGGTCATTCCTTTTGATTCGGATCAAGTAACCGTATCAAACCAATTAATCTGGCTTGAATGTGTATCTCTATTTGCATGAATGTGTATGAATGCGCGTAGTGCTGGTAAAAACTCTCGTTTTCCGTATTTTAAGCAACATGACCAATCAATGCCACTGAATCACTCTGTACATGTGTAATGAATTGTGATTGGCTCTTCACTCATAGCGTCTGTTACTACCATTATCGATCGATATTTTCATGTAAGTAGACTACATTCACATTGAATGTGACAGTTAAGGCTTGTAAATAATAACAAACGGCGAAAACATAATGGATATATATTTTTAAACTATGAACGGTAAAAAACTTGTATCATTGCAATGTGCGAGACAAGGCGAAGATCGTGAGATTGGCCGAGCGCGCTCCCCCGCCTTGGCCTCGGTTAAACGGCTCATCGTCTATAACGCCCACCAATTATTTGGACCCCATTGGTAGCATTGTAGCGAGGGACCACTGTACACGTAACAACATCAGGGACCAGTCGTTTAAAGGTCATGCTAGCAGGTCGGTACCTGGTGTATATACACGTAACAACATCAGGGACCAGTCATTTAAAAGGTCACGCTAGCAGGTCAGCACCTGGTGTATATACACATAACAACATCAGGGACCAGTCATTTAAAGGTTACACTAGCAGGTCAGCAGCTGGTGTATATACACATAACAACATCAGGGACCAGTTGTTTAAAGGTCATGCTAGCAGGTCAGTACCTGGTGTATATACACGTAACAACATCAGGGACCAGTTGTTTAAAGGTCATGCTAGCAGGTCAGAACCTGGTGTATATACACATAACAACATCAGGGACCAGTCATTTAAAGGTCATGCTAGCAGGTCAGTACCTGGTGTATATACACGTAACAACATCAGGGACCAGTCATTTAAAGGTCATGCTAGCAGGTCAGAACCTGGTGTATATACACATAACAACATCAGGTCACAGGCAACAACATTAGGGACCAGTCATTTAAAGGTCAGGCTTGCATGTCAGTACCTGGTATATGTATATGCAGGTAACAACCTTGGGGTATTATGGTATTTGTCCACAGTAACATTACCACAGCCCCGTCAAGTTCAATCAAGTTTGCATGAATAACAAACTATCCATATCTAATCATCAATTGAGAGTAACTCCAAGTATATATTTTTTGTAGGAAATGAATTTGATGACAAAGCTGCTGGATACTTTGCAGATGCTTTGCTGGTGAGTTTTTTTAAAAAGATCGACAACATGACTCATCAACTGATCTGAAACTCTGATAAGCAGGGCCTCAGAATTGCAAGACTGCTGCTAAGTACTATTGTGGCTACTTGTTAACGCTTTTGAGGATATATTGAAGAATAATTCAAATAATTCTGTTTCTTGTATATTATTTTCTATGCCTTTGCAGGGTGCAACAAAAATAGAATATTTAAACCTTAGTCACAATAACTTTGGTGAGAGTGCGGGCATTGCGCTGGGGCCAGCAATCTCCGAGAATACTTCACTCAAAGAGCTGGACCTCAGTTGGAACCATCTACGACGGAAAGGTGCCATCGCCGTGGCAATGGGAGTAAAGGTGAATTTAGATTGGCTATGCTGTACCTTTCTTTATTGTCATAGAAAATTAGTTGTAATGTTAAACTGACCATAGAGAATGACCACAGAGACTGTTGGTTATAACATAATCAGTGTAACATCAAGCAGTGCTACAACATAATCAGTGTAACACCAAGCAGTGTTATAACATAATCAGTGTAACACCAAGCAGTGTTAAAACATTATCAGTGTAACACCAAGCAGTGTTATAACATAATCAGTGTAACACCAAGCAGTGCTATAACATAATCAGTGTAACACCAAGCAGTGCTATAACATAATCAATGTAACACCAAGCAGTGTTATAACATAATCAGTGTAACACCAAGCAGTGCTATAGCATAATCAGTGTAACACCAAGCAGTGTTATAACATAATCAGTGTAACACCAAGCAGTGCTATAGCATAATCAGTATAGTATATCAATACACTAGTATACAGGTTTCAATTTCTCACTAACTATTTCGTCCTATGTCATGAAGTTAAGTTTTCATTTTCAGAACAATGTATTTATGAAGAAAGTGAATTTATCGTGGAATGGGTTTGGGCTGGAGGGATCCATTGCCCTGGCTGATGCTGTGAAGAACAACTCAGTGCTGGAGGAGCTTGATATTGGGTGAGGAGTCACAACGAGGAACTCAAAGGAGGAGGAGGAGGTGTCATCTGGTAGTTCACTGATGAACTGGGAGGTGTAGTCTAGTGGGTCACTGAGGAACTGGGAGGAGCAGGAAGGTGTAGTCTAGTGGTTCACTGAGGAACTGGGAGGAGCAGGGAGATGTAGTCTAGTGGTTCACTGAGGAACTGGGAGGAGCAGGGAGGTGTAGTCTAGTGGTTCACTGAGGAACTGGGAGGAGCAGGAAGGTGTAGTCTAGTGGTTCACTGAGGAACTGGGAGGAGCAGGAAGGTGTAGTTTAGTGGTTCACTGAGGAACTGGGAGGAGCATGGAGGTGTCGTTTATTGGTTCACTGAGGAACTGGGAGGAGGTGTAGTCTAGTGGTTCACTAAGGAACTAGGAGGAGGTGTAGTCGCTAACTGAAGACCTGGCTTTGATAACCTACATTGTACATTCTGAAAAGTCCATTTTGGGTGTCTTGGTACAGTGTGAAAATTCCATTCTTTGTGTCTTGGTACCATGTGAGCAGTCCTTTCTTGGTTTTTATGTTGTTAATATGTTGTTGGGATTCTGTGTTGCAGAAACAACAGAATAACCACAGAAGGTGCTGTGCTGATTGGGAAGGGCCTCTCTCTCAATGAAACTTTGCAGGTGTTGAAGGTGAGAAGTGTTGACATACATGTTGTCAGTGTCAGACAGCTTGGTGTTTCATGTACAAATCCAGAGGCCAGTGATCATTCAGATCCAGCTTGCCACCAAATAAACCTTTATATCTTCATTATTAGATTTCAACCCTAGTTAAGCCTAGAAAAAAATCCTGGCCTTGTATATGTGAACACTAGATAAAACCTGACAGTGAACACCTGGCCTTGTATATGTGAACACCTAGATAAACCCTGACAGTGTACACCTGGCGTTGTATATGTGAACACTAGATAAAACCTGACAGTGAACACCTGGCCTTGTATATGTGAACACCTAGATAAACCCTGACAGTGTACACCTGGCGTTGTATATGTGAACACCTAGATAAACCCTGACAGTGAACACCTGGCCTTGTATATGTGAACACCTAGATAACCCCTGACAGTGAACACCTGGCCTTGTATATGTGAACACCTAGATAAACCCTGACAGTGTACACCTGGTGTGTATATGTGAACACCTAGATAAACCCTGACAGTGTAGACCTGGCCTTATATATGTGGACACCTAGATAACCCCTGACAGTGTACACCTGGCCTTATATATGTGAACACTAGATAAATCCTGACAGTGTACACCTGGCCTTATATATGTGAACACCTAGATAACCCCTGACAGTGTACACCTGGCCTTGTATATGTGAACACCTAGATAAACCCTGACAGTGTACACCTGGCCTTATATATGTGAACACCTAAATAACCCCTGACAGTGTACACCTGGCCTTGTATGTGTGAACACCTAGATAAACCCTTACAGTGTACACCTGGCCTTGTATGTGTGAACACTAGATAACCCCTGACAGTGAACACCTGGCCTTGTATATGTGAACACCTAGATAACCCCTGACCGCATACACCTGGCCTTGTATGTGTGAACACCTAGATAACCCCTGACCGCATACACCTGGCCTTGTATGTGTGAACACCTAGATAACCCCTGACAGTGAACACCTGGCCTTGTATATGTGAACACCTAGATAACCCCTGACCGCATACACCTGGCCTTGTATATGTGAACACCTAGATAACCCCTGACAGTGAACACCTGGCCTTGTATATGTGAACACCTAGATAACCCCTGACCGCATACACCTGGCCTTGTATATGTGAACACCTAGATAAAACCCTGACAGTGAACACCTGGCCTTGTATATGTGAACACCTAGATAAACCCTTACAGTGAACACCTGGCCTTGTATGTGTGAACACTAGATAAACCATGACAGTGAACACCTGGCCTTGTATATGTGAACACCTAAATAAAACCCTGACAGTGAACACCTGGCCTTGTATGTGTGAACACTAGATAAACCCTGACAGTGAACACCTGGCCTTGTATGTGTGAACACTAGATAAACCCTGACAGTGAACACCTGGCCTTGTATATGTGAACACCTAGATAAACCCTGATGGTGTACACCTGGCCTTGTATGTGTGAACACAAGATAAACCCTGACAGTGAACACCTGGCCTTGTATATGTGAACACCTAGATAAACCCTGACAGTGAACACCTGGCCTTGTATGTGTGAACACTAGATAAACCCTGACAGTGAACACCTGGCCTTGTATATGTGAACACCTAGATAAACCCTGATGGTGTACACCTGGCCTTGTATGTGTGAACACAAGATAAACCCTGACAGTGAACACCTGGCCTTGTATATGTGAACACCTAGATAAACCCTGACAGTGAACACCTGGCCTTGTATGTGTGAACACTAGATAAACCCTGACAGTGAACACCTGGCCTTGTATATGTGAACACTAGATAAATCCTGACAGTGTACACCTGGCCTTATATATGTGAACACCTAGATAACCCCTGACAGTGTACACCTGGCCTTGTATATGTGAACACCTAGATAAACCCTGACAGTGTCCACCTGGCCTTATATATGTGAACACCTAAATAAACCCTGACAGTGTACACCTGGCCTTGTATGTGTGAACACTTAGATAAACCCTGACAGTGTACACCTGGCCTTGTATGTGTGAACACTAGATACCCCCTGACAGTGAACACCTGGCCTTGTATGCGTGAACACTAGATAAACCCTGACAGTGTACACCTGGCCTTGTATATGTGAACACCTAGATAACCCCTGACCGCATACACCTGGCCTTGTATGTGTGAACACCTAGATAACCCCTGACCGCATACACCTGGCCTTGTATATGTGAACACCTAGATAACCCCTGACAGTGAACACCTGGCCTTGTATATGTGAACACCTAGATAACCCCTGACCGCATACACCTGGCCTTGTATATGTGAACACTTAGATAACCCCTGACAGTGAACACCTGGCCTTGTATGTGTGAACACTAGATAAACCCTGACAGTGAACACCTGGCCTTGTATATGTGAACACCTAGATAAACCCTGACAGTGAACACCTGGCCTTGTATGTGTGAACACTAGATAAACCCTGACAGTGAACACCTGGCCTTGTTTGTGCTATCATTCACTTTCACCCTTCCTTCCAGATGGGTCAGAATCCAATGCAGACAGGGGGCTGTTGGGCCATCTGTGCAGCAATACTGAAAAACCCCAGTTGTGTCCTCAGACACATAGACTTTTCTGTGAGTACAGTCACCATGGAAACAGTTTGATTATGATTGTAATTATAATATGATGATATGGAAAAAATATCTCATTTGTTTAAATAGGAAAGTGAAAGTTTCAAATTGTCGACATATGTTCCTGTATGAGTAGGACCATAACAAGGTAGTATTTTTGTTTGTTGTTTAACGCCACACTCCGCAGTCTTCCAGCTATATGACAGCGGTCTGTAAATCCAGGCAATCAAGTGACTGACATCATGAGCAATGATCCATGAAATTGGGATACGATGACATGTATCAACCAAGTCAGCGAGCCTGACCACCCGATCTTGTTGGTTGCCTTATACGACAAGCATGGGTTAGAAGAGGTGATCAAGAATGAAACACTTAATTACCTTTGCTGTGATATATCCACATGTAACCTCCATGGGTGATGGCGTGTCCATTGGAACAAGCATTACAGCTCAAAGGCCTGGGTTCAGTTACACTCATGGGTAGAATGAGTGGAGCCAATTTCTGCTAACCCCGATTGTGATACTGTTGGAATATCCCTACTTGCACGCTCACTCATACTTCCCACCTTCCAGGATATTTTAGTGAACGAGGACTTCACAGAAATCTTCAAGCAGGTCCAGGAGCAGATCCCAGACATCAAGATATGGCATGGAGGCATGGAGCCGCCTCTGAAGCCTAAAGCCCGGATCCCGCCCATGATGAAGCTGGCCACCTACATCGACAAGCACGACCTTAGGCTTGTTGACTTCTTCAACAAGTTTGACAAAGACAAGAGCATGAGTGTCACTCATGAAGAGTTCATTCAGGGCCTGGAGGTGAGGTAGCAAGAGGGTAGATAGGAGGGGAGGATGGATAGCAGGAGGGTGGATAGGAGGGGAGGGTGGACAGGAGGGGTGGGTTGATAGGAGGGGAGGAGTAGATAGGAGGGGTGGGTGGATAGGAGGGGTGGGTGGATAGGAGGGCAGGGTGGATAGGAGGGCGGGGTGGATAGGAGGGCAGGGTGGATAGGAGGGGAGGAGTAGATAGGAGAGGAGGAGTAGATAGGAGGGCAGGGTGGATAGGAGGGGAAGAGTAGATAGGAGGGGTGGGTGGATAGGAGGGCAGGGTGGATAGGAGGGCAGGGTGGATAGGAGGGGAGGGTAGACGGGAGGGGTGGGTGGATAGGAGGGGAGGGTGGATAGGAGGGCAGGGTGGATAGGAGGGAAGGGTGGATAGGAGGGCAGGGTGGATAGGAGGGGAGGGTGGACAGGAGGGGTGGGTGGATAGGAGGGGAGGAGTAGATAGGAGGGTAGGGTGGATAGGAGGGGAGGGTGGGTAGAAGGGGTGGGTGGATATGAGGGGAGGAGTAGATTGGAGGGGTGGGTGGACAGGAGGGAAGGGTGGGAAGGAGGGATGGGTGGATAGGACGGAGGAGTAGACAGGAGGGGTGGGTGGACAGGAGGGGAGGGTGGATAGGAGGGAAGGGTGGATAGGAGGGGAGGGTGGATAGGAGGGCAGGATGGATAGGAGGGGAGGGTGGACAGGAGGGGTGGGTGGATAGGAGGGGAGGAGTAGATAGGAGGGTAGGGTGGATAGGAGGGGAGGGTGGGTAGAAGGGGTGGGTGGATATGAGGGGAGGAGTAGATTGGAGGGGTGGGTGGACAGGAGGGAAGGGTGGGAAGGAGGGATGGGTGGATAGGAGGGAGGAGTAGACAGGAGGGGTGGGTGGACAGGAGGGGAGGGTGGATAGGAGGGAAGGGTGGATAGGAGGGGAGGGTGGATAGGAGGGCAGGATGGATAGGAGGGCAGGGTGGATAGGAGGGGAGGGTGGACAGGAGGGGAGGGTGGATAGGAGGGGAGGGTGGGTAGGAGGGAGGAGTAGATAGGAAGGGAGGGTGGACAGGAGGGGAGGGTGGATAACAGGGGAGGGTTGATAGGAGGGGACGGTGGGTAGGAGGGGAGGGTGGGTAGGAGGGAGGAGTAGATAGGAGGGGTGGGTGGATAGGAGGGGAGGGTGGATAGCAGGGGAGGGTGGATAGCAGGGGAGGGTTGATAGGAGGGGAGGGTTGATAGGAGGGGAGGGTGGATAGGAGGGGACGGTGGGTAGGAGGGGAGGGTGGATAGGAGGGAGGAGTAGATAGGAGGGGTGGGTGGATAGGAGGGGAGGGTGGATAGCAGGGGAGGGTTGATAGCAGGGGAGGGTTGATAGGAGGGGAGGGTTGGTAGGAGGGAAGGGTGGATAGGAGGGGAGGGTGGGTAGGAGGGGAGGAGTAGATAGGAGGGGTGGGTGGACAGGAGGGGAGGGTGGATAAGAGGGGAGGGTGGGTAGGAGGGAGGAGAAGATAGGAGGGGAGGGTGGGAAGGAGGGGAGGGTAGATAGGAGGGAGGAGGAGATAGGAGGGGTGGGTGGACAGGAGGGGAGGGTGGATAGGAGGGGAGGGTGGGTAGGAGGGAGGAGTAGATAGGAGGGGAGGGTGGGAAGGAGGGATGGGTAGATAGGAGGGAGGAGGAGATAGGAGGGGTGGGTGGACAGGAGGGGAGGGTGGATAGGAGGGGAGGGTGGGTAGGAGGGAGGAGTAGATAGGAATGGAGGGTGGACAGGAGGGGAGGGTGGATAGCAGGGGAGGGTGGGTAGGAGGGGAGGGTGGGTAGGAGGGGAGGGTGGATAGGAGGGAGGAGTAGATAGGAGGGGTGGGTGGACAGGAGGGGAGGGTGGATAGGAAGGGAGGGTGGGTAGGAGGGAGGAGTAGATAGGAGGGGAGGATGGATAGGAGGGGAGGGTGGGTAGGAGGGAGGAGTAGATAGGAGGGGGGAAGGAGGGATGGGTTGATAGGAGGGAGGAGTAGATAAGAGGGATGGGTGGACAGGAGGGGAGGGTGGATAAGAGGGGAGGTGGGTAGGAGGGGAGGGTGGGAAGGAGGGAGGAGTAGATAGGAAGGGAAAGGGAAGGTGGATAGGAGGGGAGGGTGGATAGGAGGGGAGGGTGGGTAGGAGGGAGGAGTAGATAGGAAGGGAAGGTGGATAGGAGGGGAGGGTGGATAGCAGGGGAGGGTGGATAGGAGGGGAGGAGTAGATAGGAGGGGAGGTTGGATAGGAGGGGAGGGTGGGTAGGAGGGAGGAGTAGATAGGAGGGAGAGATGTGAGTCTGCCTGAGATGTGAGTCTGTCTGAGATGTGATGTGAGTCTGCCTGAGATGTGAGTCTGTCTGAGATGTGAGTCTGCATGCTGCATGTGGAAACCACGTAGCGGATTGTCAGATACTGTCTGTATACACTGCACAGCATATGGCAGGTGTCTGTGTTGTCAGCACCTTTCATAGCAATAACATGACCACTCTTCTTCTAGATACATTAACTCTCATACAGAAAGATGTAGGAGAGTAGCATCTCTTTTCATATGACACAGTTTGAATCATGACAAATTGTCTTTTCAACCCACTTTATTCACATTTGACAAGCAGCTAGTAAAATGGGTAAATACAATGTTGCCTATCCCGACTTCACTTTGATGAACTTCCTTCAGATCTGATTATTCACGCCCTATTTTTATTGTCTTTATTCAATTGTTTATTTGTTTATTTCCCCACTAGAAATTCCAGAAGGTAACCCTGGTTTGCCTGTGTGGAGACTTTGCTTCTGTGTACCACTGAACTTCTAATATGTCTGTGTCCACCCTATGTAATAACCACAGTATGTTGCAGTGGGGCACAGCCCACTAATGTCCAAATAGTACTAACTTATCCTCATACTGTGTGCCCTCGGGGGGCGTCCAGGGCTAATCACTAATGAGGATTGGATGGTTGCACCCCCTGGGTGGCCATGTCCATAGTAGACTGTATGCAGGCAGACGTGACATGGCTGGAGTATGGCTGACTGCGGCCTAAAACAACGTGCACTCCTACTTTGTGAGGACTATCCTTTCATTGACCATCTGTAATTGCTAGAAAAGTATAAATTCAAGGAATATTAGTAACATTATTGTCATGGACTTAATTCCATGACTTTGTAGTAACGGTAACTATCACATGATGGAACTTGTCATTTGTAAATGTGTTTTAATTTGGAAAGCAGTGTGCAACTTTAATGCCTGATTCCCATTATAAAAATGAGACAGTATGTAATTTGACATGTACAAACCTTATTTTTGTGAAGAATATTTTGTATCTTCAAATGTTATATATGTTGTGTTTGTCTTTGTGGTGTCCTTCCTGCTTTCAATGTAATATCCTTACTGTTGTCACACTAATAAGTACTCCTAACAAATCTCATGCAAAAGTCCAAACCTGAACTATGCCAGAGGACCAGGAAATGGGTTTGTTGTGTGCCAGGCAGATGTTTTTCCTGCAAACATTCACTGTTTCAATGATTAGATCTTATCCAAATATTTAAGGGAATGAAAAGAATACTTTTCATCAGTTATTCATTGCATTATCTCATTGACAAATAGGATAAAAAACAATTGAAAGTAAAGTCTATTAATTTCTAGACATATTTTTTTGTCCATTTTCTGAATACTATCACTGAGTTACGTAATCTGTATTTTTGTATGTTAAGCCAGACAAACTCCTTTCTATTTTTACGTATTTTCGTATTTGCAACACAGCAATTTGATTTTTATACTTAGTAATGCTTATAAGGCGACATTTTTTTTATATCTTGGTTTACAGATGCGCCACTCTTTCAAAGTCTAAATGTTAAAAAAAATTAAAATTAAAATTACCCTTTTTTTATTACCTCCGATCTTTTCATCAAAAAGTTCAAACAAAAAAGATTTCATTTCCTTGTCGAGCGTAAAGCAAGGGAAGTCACTCTGATATTTCTCGCTGGCATCCTTCTCTAATACCATCAAAGCTTGTCAATGCAAAGCGCAGTGGTGACCAGTTTAACTCTTTCAGCACTGTTGGCCGGTACAACCATCAAGAAGCCACGAGTCACCAGACACCGCATGGTAGACTGTCCAAGTCACGTCAAAATAGTTTACAATTTTATTAACCTACTTGTCATATCATTCATTTATTAAATCTATCACATTTCACAATGTCTGAAATACGTATTCCATTTGATTTTATCATTTTTTATCAATAGATTAAAAAATTATTCACTAGATTCTATTTCCCGCAATGTTATTGAAAATAAAATTCTCGGACAAACTTCGACAAACAGCAAAATAAAGATGTTTCAAGCAAATCTTCAAATATATTATACAAAGTAATAAAATCAACAAAAATATATCTAAAAGTTGCCAAACTGACATCTAAGTTATTATTTCCATCTTTTTGTGCGGTTGCATGTAATGTAAGTCAAATGACATCTTGGCTTTCGTCGCCTCGATTTCTCGGCTCAGACACGATGTCTTTAATGCCAAATATATGCATAAGAAGGTTACAGCTCATAACATAGATAACCTAGCACTATGCATCCATGAAGTTCCATATTATTGATAGAGATCACGATTTCATACTTAAAACGTTCAAAATAACATGGTTTAACCCAAACCTTTCGTCAAAGTCTGAAAAATATCATACACAATTGAGGACAGTACCGTTGCTGTAATTTAATTGGCTGCCTTAGATCACATGCTTAAATTTGACCATCCATGAACCTTGTAGCAGATTATGTCGGTGAAACAATATAAGTTTTTTTAATGTATACTGACATGGCAGCCTTCGACGTATGTTTTTAATCATACAAAGCTTCGAAAACGGAGGTATTTCCTCATGTTAGTGAGCGGACAGCCACTATCATTAGGAAATGGGTGATTACAGATATTATTACTTCCGTCCGTACGTCCCACCTGTTTGTTGCCGCGATATCTCAAGAACTAAACACTGGATTGTCTTCATATTTGGAACTATGGCGTATATACATACTCCGCAGACACCAGTCGGTTTTGGTGACCTTGACCCCATTTTCAAGGTCACAGCAGGCATATCTGCTTTTGGAGTTGGAAAACGGTGTTGCCGCGATATCTCAAGAACTAATCTCTGGATTGTCTTCCTATTTGGTACTAGGGTGTATATACGGACTCCGCAGACACCAGTCGGTTTTGGTGACCTTGAGCCCATTTTCAAGGTCACAGCAGGTAAATCTGCTTTTGGAGTTGGAAAACGGTGTTGCCGCGATATCTCAAGAACTAATCGCAGGATTGTCTTCATGTTTGGAACTATGGTGTATATACAGACACCGCAGACACCAGTCGGTTTTGGTGACCTTGACCCCATTTTCAAGGTCATAGCAGGCAAATCTGCTTTTGGAGTTGGAAAACGGTGTTGCCGCGATATCTCAAGAATTAAACACTGGATTGTCTTCATATTTGGAACTATGGTGTATATACAGACTCCGCAGACACCAGTCGATTTTGGTGACCTTGACCCCATTTTCAAGGTCACAGCAGGTAAATCTGCTTTTGGAGTTGGAAAACGGGGTTGCCACGATATCTCAAGAACTAATCGCAGGATTGTCTTCATGTTTGGAACTATGGTGTATATACAGACACCGCAGACACCAGTCGGTTTTGGTGACCTTGACCCCATTTTCAAGGTCACAGCAGGCAAATCTGCTTTTGGAGTTTGAAAACAGAGTTGCCGCGATATCTCAAGAACTAAACACTGGATTGTTTTCATATTTGGAACTATGGTGTATATACAGACTCCGCAGACACCAGTCGGTTTTGGTGACCTTGACCCCATTTTCAAGGTCACAGCAGGTAAATCTGCTTTTGGAGTTTGAAAACGGTGTTGCCGCGATATCTCAAGAACTAATCGCAGGATTGTCTTAATATTTGGAACTATGGTGTATATACAGACACCGCAGACACCAGTCGGTTTTGGTGACCTTGACCCTATTTTCAAGGTCACAGCAGGCAAATCTGCTTTTGGAGTTGGAAAACGGTGTTGCCGCGATATCTCAAGAACTAATCGCTGGATTGTCTTCATATTTGGTTTTTTGGTGTATATACAGGCGGGGGACATTTCGTAACTTCTGTGACAAATACTTGTTCTTTTTAAAATAATGTTCCGACTACATATACAAATGAAAATACAAAATAAAATGGTTAGTGGATTTTATGAAATCTCGTTAAATTTGCGCTTCATTGAGCCTTAGTCTGGACGTTATGAGTGTTTTAGCTTACATTATGTTTATTTAAAATGAACTTTATTAAGTTGTTGATGAATTATTTAAATAATTTAATACACATAACTTTCATATTTATAAACAATAGGATTAATTAGACCATTCAAATAGTGTATGGCCAAACATGTAGTAGCAAAGATGTTTTACAAGCAGATAATTTCCTTGATAAATGTTGGCTTCATCTATCACACAAGAGTCTCTGGGAACTTGGTGTCACAGCAGTAATCTTCTGGTTGGCTGGTGTTGAAAGAGTTAAACGTTGCCCATGCTGCCAAAATAGCAGCGTCTTTCATGCATTTCCACCCATGACATGAATCTTGTTATATTGCCATTTGTGCACAAGCTGAGTGCCAGGGATGTGATAAAATGTTCTTGAAAAATAGCGTTGTCTTAATTTCGTTACTCCAGAATATTTTTTTTATACCTACCAGTACCCAACTTTTTAGGTCAAAATTCAAGTAAGAAAAATCTTGGAGACTTTTTTTTTAATTCGCCTACCTCACTTTTGAAATGAGTTTGAAATCAGTAAACCAAGAAATAACAAAAATGCTGCCTAAGTTAGATTGAAAATTAATTGGTTTGGTGTAAATGCAAAATGGAAGTATGTAGGAAAACTGATGCTAGGGAACACAAACCAGGTGGAATTGTTATGCTTGTCCAACTTTACAGTGTGAAGGATCTGTGTCTTCTGATAATTCCAGTGTTGGTTTGCTTATTAGTGTGAGAAACAGACTGAGTACCTCAGTTGTATTGCTCCCATATACTTCACTAATACTCTTCTCTTGGTGAAGGCCTGTATGTCTGGGTGGAGGCTTGCATATATATTGATGTAATGTCAAGGATACCAAATGACCAATCAGTTCTCTGATGACTGTTGAAAACTTGTTGCTTGAGGTATTTGCTTGAAGTGCATTAGCTTGTACACCTGAGTGCTGTAATTGTCCTATTTTGTGTTATAGCAGAGGACCTTATCCTCGTAAACCAGTGTCAAGAGACTTTCCACTTTGTTGGTCTGATATTTATGAAACATGGAAGATCTTAGAAATACCAAACTGATAAATGATTCAGAATATAGAAGAAATTGGACATTAATTTAGGATTGTACCCGTGTTATTGTGTATTACATATGTGTACATCAGATATGTTCACATGCAATTCTATTCAATGAGTTGCCGTGGAAACATTATTATTAAAACCACTGTATTGATGTACAACTTGCTTTCACTTTTGTTATAACCAATCTAAGCCCAACATGAATTAATTGGATAATTATTTAAGAAGATCTGATACTTGCAATTATCCATGTACTGCCACTACAAACTAGATCCAACATGTTGATGCACACTTGGCTATAGCCTACACATTGCACTCCAGGGGCACTAGTTCCAGCGCTTGTCCTCACACTGAAGAAGTGGTACATGTAGGAAACAGTTTGATGGTGGCCCCTGCCAGGTTGTGGCTGGAATAATGATACACGCAGCGTAATAACACTAGTCACTCACCGCACAGCAGCACAGAGCCTACTGTTTCCTATGTATGCATTGTGCAATGTTTAAAAGTTATATGTTTTCAAGTACTAGCCTGACACAATCAGCCATGGAATTCTTTGATGGCAAGAAATATATATTACAGCTTCATGTCCCGGTGTTGAGAACATTGCCAACAAATACCCTGATCAGGAACATTCTGCAAGCCTGTGATACATGTATTAACATTCTAAAATTCTGAGATAAGTGTACAATTTTCATAGCAACTGTTTTGCTTCTTTTGGGTATTTTTAAGGTAATATTTAGATAACATACTCATCTCTTGAAATAAGTCTGTTGGTTTGTGAAATCTTCATGAGAACAATATTAATGGTTTAATATACTGTTTTCCAGGAAACTGGTATTAATCTGACTGAGGAAGAAATAGCATCACTGATTGAGGAACTAGACAAGGATGGTGATGGAGAAATCAACTACAGGTATGAGGGAGAATGTGGTGGTGGTGGTGGTTGGGGAATCACAGGAAGGGCAGGCACATGGCTGAAGGGGGAACCGAGAGGGGAGGACACGGAAATATTGGGGAGGGTTTTAGAAAGAAACAAAAACATTTTGTTATTTCACCAATGACAAATTACTTTTTAAATTGGCAGCACAAGGATTGTCATGAATCAGTTTAAGTAGGTGAGGCTCATCCAGAATATTGTCGGGGCGGTCGGGTAGCCTAATGGTTAAAGCGTTCGCTCGTCACGCCGAAGACCCGGGTTCGATTCCCGACATGGGTACAATGTGTGAAGCCCATTTCTGGTGTCCCCCGCCGTGATATTGCTGGAATATTGCTAAAAGCGGCGTAAAACCATACTCACTCACTCACTCACTTCCAGAATATTGTCATGATGTTAGAACTACCTGCCACGGGCCTACGGGCAGGCACATATTTCTTATTATACAAACAAATGTCAATCAAGTGAAGTGGAAACTCTGTTTATGTAGGTTATTATTTTATAAATTCTTTAAATCAAATTTTGGAAACAGCCGCTTCATCTTTGAAGGAAGGTTGGGGATACAGTGATTGAAATGGTCGCTCATTGTCAAAGTCTGGATTCCAGTGTTTAGTGTATTGGGTAGTGTTTCAATCCTATTGTTGGTTTTCCCCAAAATACTATTGCTGACATATTGCAAAAAGTGGTCTAAAAACACACTTTGTAGGATTGTAGGACACAAGGATTGTAGTGAAAGGAGATTTTATTGCTGCTTCAATGGGAAAACAGTGTCGCTCAAAAACTCTCAGCAGACAGTTTTCTTTTTAAGCCTCACAAGACCTGTCATGTCAAACCTTTAGATATGAGTAACATGTATGTTGTCTGTATGAAGATCAGATGAACCTTCCATCATGTCCTCTGAACCCTGATCGACTTTGACCACCCAATCTACATGAAGGTTGCATGGGTTCTTGAACCAATCAGATATCAGCTTTCTAAAACTATTCAGTGTGATAATCAATGGACAGGTGGCAGGCAAGGGGTTATTATTATTGATGGGTAATTAGTAATGGACAATTGGAAGCCAGCTGGACCAATTAGCCTTGATAGGGGGATAATGCGACAGGAAGATGATGGCACACTGGGCAGATATGTTTCTGGTCAAGCTTCATGGCTGGCTGGGATCTCCTGATGTCAATGGTCTCTTGTAGTCAGATGTTGTTGTCAGTTGTTCTTTGTGGACAGGACCTTGGTGGCTTCCTACATGATTTCTGGTCTAGTTTGTTGACAGGCCGGATGTTCTTTGGGTCTGGTGTTGAGGGGTCTTCTCCAAGGTGTTGGTGGCCACAGTGTATAAAGTATCAACAACATATATTGATCGGCCATTATTACTTTCCATTCAGGTTTTGACAAGGTGATTTTTCTTATCCACCATGTGACTGAAGGTGTTCTGCTCCCCCCTACAGCCCCCTCCCCACCCCTTAACTTAATCATTACAGTTTCAAACATTACGAAGAATTATTTTGGATGAAATATCTGTTTGACATTTAGATGTGCCTTGTGACTGCCATTGGACTTCAGTAACTGGAAGTGAGCACAGGGTCCACAGATTGAAATCTTCACATGAAGGCAACAACCCAATGAGCTACAGCTAGATTTTTTAACGTGCGATGATAATAGTGTCTACCTGTTCTTTATTGCAGTGAGATGGTGATAGGACACACAGACTTCAAGGAGACCCAGCGACTGAGTGTTACATCCATGAGACCTTTGACCTCGTAGGTCATCACGAGAGAGCAACCTTAGGATGTGTTAGTTCATCAAAATTAATTCATTCATCAGCATACATGAAATTATTTTTGAATTAAATGACTTGTCACTAGTATTCATGTCACTCTTTTTCTCGAAGAAATGAATTTCTCTCTTTTGTCAGAGCCTAAACTAAACTGTCATCAATTACTGGTTTAACTGATGCACATCAGAATTTGTTTTCATTTTGTAGTTGTGCCGTATCATTTTCCCATCCAAATTAACTGGAAAATAATAGAAGTGTGACCATCTTTTTTTCAAGTTTTATCATATATTTTTTTTCAAAGTCTGTATCAGGAGGCAGGCATCAGTGCTTGTGTTTATTCATTTAAAACTATGTTTTTGTATCTTGGTTTCATAAAGGTAGAATAAATATAAAAAAGAAGGGAAGTAACTCTTGAACTTGTCTTTACAAAATACACTCAAATTGCTTTTTATTATTTTGTGTTTTCAACAGAGTCAAAGAGGTCATTTAAAAATAAATACTTGGCTTTTTTAAAAAATCTTACTTCAACCACTGATCCTGTGGTTGTGAGGGAAATGATGTCTGTAACGGAGTGACATGTTTCGGGCACTCCGCTACTTGCAGACAGACAGTTTTCACCTCGTTGGGTCGTTGTTGTATGCTGCTGTAGGTTTCACTACTTTCTTCACACTATGCATCAAAATGTGCTATCACTTGCAGGACTTGTAGCACAGTACAAATCATTGCTTGAACGTTCATGCGCAATATAACTTACCTGTACTCTGTATTACTCAAGTTCCTCTGTATCCACTGTAGAAGAATAGGGAAAACCTTCTTTTACAAAGTATTTTCTGTGAAATCAACATGTATATATATGCCATCATTGAGGAAATATATTATTAGAGTTATCTCCCTTCAGCAACATTGCACTTACTCCAGCACACCAGCCTTTTCTGTATTTAGATTATATTCCACGCCTTTATGTGACATTGCAATATTGCTATTGATGTTGCACTTGTACCCACAATGCAATAGTGTTCCTCTTGTTTTACTGATCAATATGTCTGTGTCACTGGTTGTCCATGTTAGAATCTGTCATACATATTTTGTTCAGATCTATCCAAGTGTTGTCCATCAATGCTTTTATTTTTATATGTACAAATACTTATAGCATCAGGGTTGGAGAAATACTTGTGATATTTTGTAGGATTCTTCTTTTGTTTTATGGTGTGATTTGGTTGAAGGAGATCACTGTGCTCACATCCAGCTGATGGAGGAACAAGCAGTGTTTTATTACCATATCTACTGTTTATATCCATCATCTTGTGTAATTTACACAGTGCTTATTTCTACCAACATCCCCATAACCAGTTTTCGAGTAAATCCTTTGAAGCATGACTGATCTGTCCCAGCTTCACACCATGTTGTTTCTGCAATACATGTATCTGTTCTGCCAGAACACCACATTCACAAGTGAGGATTTATTAACACCATTGGGATGAAGTATGGCACCACATTTTGCAGAATAATGTTTTCAGCAGTTGTGTCATCTCACTGCATAAATTAGAAGTTCCAGTGTCAGGGTGAGGAAGTACTGTGTCAGACTCAGGCTCCTGACGTGTTCGACTGTCAAATTTCTGTGTAAAAGGTCTGTAGAAACCTAAATCAAATTTCTATACGCTGGTATTTAGTCTGAATAAGACATAATTCATTATTATGGTGCTGATGTGGCCCAGATTTGAAGAAAGTTTATGTACTTATTATGTCCTTATCATTGATATTCAAGGTGTGCAATTTGTTGAAAACATTATATGTGAGAAGAAAGGCAAATAGTACTCCTCCAGTCTCGACCCAGGTGTGACACAGAGGGCTACAAGATGTGATAAGCCAGCTGGACGTGCTTACGAAATTCTACACCAGGGTGCTGTTGTATAAAACACCCTTACCACTATGATGATTGTAAGCCTATGTTAAAGTATTGGAGTTATGATCACCTTAACACACCCCTTGTACAACGGCATTCACTGCAGTGTCAAACACTCTGATTTCTTGGTACCCATGTATGTGGAAACCATTGTAGGATTGCTGGGTGGTGCAGACTGGGTTCCTTTGGGTCTGGATGAGTTCAGGATGTGAAGTTATCTCCCCTTCATAGGAAGAACATGATCACAAGGGAAGACAACTCTGATACTGACCACAATGTGAGAAATTCAAGCTCTGAATCTTGGGGCACCTTTGCCTAATTCTTTTCTTGATTTTCTTATTAACATCTCTGCAATTGTCAAAGGGTTATCACAGCCTAACTAGCAAATTTATGTCATGTATTGTAATTTTAAATTTGATCTTGATTTGACCACGGCACTTTGACTATGTCCTCAAATTATCAGAAAGGCAGTTCAGAAATGTTTAAATTAATGTGAAAATCATGACAGCAGTGATATAACTGACCTTTTTGTAGACATTGATCAGCCTATTTTGTATCAAGTGAAGTCTTGTGTCCTCATTCTGTGAATGGTGACTCAATATATTTGGACCTGGATGTTTATAGCAGTCTCTACATTTCTTACTTGGAGGCTGAACTATCACTTCCTTAAAGTTCCTGTTGCAGTATATGACCTATGACTGTGGGAGGCAAGCTACAGGGCCAGGATGTGGAAAGTATGTTGCCAGTGTAAGTGCTTCATTAGTTCCATAAAATGTCACTTTAACCATCAAGTTTCATGAGAACAACAATAATTATTCCAACTTCCAGATCTCTTTCATGTAGCTTTATTGAGGGCCTAGCAAGGATACTTCTAGTCTCCTTAGAGACCCAGTCACTATGGGAGTACAACATAGTCACCAGCTTGGGTTACAGACCCCGTCACAATGGGAGTACAACATAGTCACCCGCTTGGGTTACAGACCCCATCACTATGGGAGTACAACATAGTCACCCGCTTGGGTTACAGACCCTGTCACTATGGGTGTACAACATAGTCACCCGCTTGGGTTACAGACCCTGTCACTATGGGAGTACAACATAGTCACCAGCTTTGGTTACAGACCCTGTCACTATGGGAGTACAACATAGTCACCAGCTTGGGTTACAGACCCTGTCACAATGGGAGTACAACATAGTCACCAGCTTGGGTTACAGACCCCGTCACAATGGGAGTACAACATAGTCACCCGCTTGGGTTACAGACCCCATCACTATGGGAGTACAACATAGTCACCCGCTTGGGTTACAGACCCTGTCACTATGGGTGTACAACATAGTCACCAGCTTGGGTTACAGACCCCATCACTATGGGTGTACAACATAGTCACCAGCTTGGGTTACAGACCCCGTCACTATGGGTGTACAACATAGTCACCCGCTTGGGTTACAGACCCTGTCACTATGGGAGTACAACATAGTCACCCGCTTGGGTTACAGACCCTGTCACTATGGGAGTACAACATAGTCACCCGCTTGGGTTACAGACCCTGTCACTATGGGAGTACAACATAGTCACCAGCTTGGGTTACAGACCCTGTCACTATGGGAGTACAACATAGTCACCAGCTTGGGTTACAGACCCCGTCACTATGGGAGTACAACATAGTCACCCGCTTGGGTTACAGACCCTGTCACTATGGGAGTACAACATAGTCACCAGCTTGGGTTACAGACCCCATCACTATGGGAGTACAACATAGTCACCCGCTTGGGTTACAGACCCCATCACTATGGGAGTACAACATAGTCACCAGCTTGGGTTACAGACCCCATCACTATGGGAGTACAACATAGTCACCAGCTTGAGTTACAGACCCTGTCACTATGGGTGTACAACATAGTCACCAGCTTGGGTTACAGACCCTGTCACTATGGGAGTACAACATAGTCACCAGCTTGGGTTACAGACCCCATCACTATGGGAGTACAACATAGTCACCAGCTTGGGTTACAGACCCTGTCACTATGGGAGTACAACATAGTCACCAGCTTGGGTTACAGACCCTGTCACTATGGGAGTACAACATAGTCACCAGCTTGGGTTACAGACCCTGTCACTATGGGAGTACAACATAGTCACCCGCTTGGGTTACAGACCCTGTCACTATGGGAGTACAACATAGTCACCAGCTTGGGTTACAGACCAAGTCACTATGGGAGTACAACATAGTCACCCGCTTGGGTTACAGACCCTGTCACTATGGGAGTACAACATAGTCACCAGCTTGGGTTACAGACCCTGTCACTATGGGAGTACAACATAGTCACCAGCTTGGGTTACAGACCCCATCACTATGGGAGTACAACATAGTCACCAGCTTGGGTTACAGACCCTGTCACTATGGGAGTACAACATAGTCACCAGCTTGGGTTACAGACCCGGTCACTATGGGAGTACAACATAGTCACCCGCTTGGGTTACAGACCCAGTCACTATGGGAGTACAACATAGTCACCCGCTTGGGTTACAGACCCAGTCACTATGGGTGTACAACATAGTCACCAGCTTGGGTTACAGACCCCATCACTATGGGAGTACAACATAGTCACCAGCTTGGGTTACAGACCCTGTCACTATGGGAGTACAACATAGTCACCAGCTTGGGTTACAGACCCTGTCACAATGGGAGTACAACATAGTCACCAGCTTGGGTTACAGACCCTGTCACAATGGGAGTACAACATAGTCACCAGCTTGGGTTACAGACCCAGTCACTATGGGAGTACAACATAGTCACCCGCTTGGGTTACAGACCCTGTCACTATGGGTGTACAACATAGTCACCCGCTTGGGTTACAGACCCTGTCACTATGGGAGTACAACATAGTCACCAGCTTGGGTTACAGACCCTGTCACAATGGGAGTACAACATAGTCACCAGCTTGGGTTACAGACCCTGTCACAATGGGTGTACAACATAGTCACCCGCTTGGGTTACAGACCCTGTCACTATGGGAGTACAACATAGTCACCAGCTTGGGTTACAGACCCTGTCACTATGGGAGTACAACATAGTCACCAGCTTGGGTTACAGACCCTGTCACAATGGGAGTACAACATAGTCACCAGCTTGGGTTACAGACCCTGTCACAATGGGAGTACAACATAGTCACCAGCTTGGGTTACAGACCCTGTCACTATGGGAGTACAACATAGTCACCCGCTTGGGTTACAGACCCTGTCACTATGGGTGTACAACATAGTCACCCGCTTGGGTTACAGACCCTGTCACTATGGGAGTACAACATAGTCACCAGCTTGGGTTACAGACCCGGTCACTATGGGAGTACAACATAGTCCCATGTTTCACAAATGTAATGGTGAGGTAACCCTGTCTTTACCAAGTATTGCATAGAGTAGGGGCAAGGCTTCATGTGTCTCACTTGAGTGTCTGTAGGCTGGAGTTTCCTCTCACACAGACATTGTAAGATCTGGCCAAGGGTCTTGCTTTCATGGATTTTCATGCCAATACCCAAAACTTTAATAACATGTCAATGTTGGTTTGATCAAACTTTCCAAGAGATAATGCATTAACCCAATAACATGAATAAATTATGATGTTAGTTTTGTTAACGTTCCTGTTAGTTATGAGGCTGTTTTATTCCTTGTATTCAAGTGATAGAAGTTACAGGGGTCAGGAATGACATTTGTTCTTGTTTTTTACCACAAGGGTACCGCTGTGTAGACACTGACAAACATTGGTCTGGTCTTAGAATACAATACATTGTTGGTAATTGATGGTTACCTGTGTACAGTACAAATAATCACTGGAAGTAATGTTATACATTGGCAATATACCATTTTCATGGTACCTGTTTACATAATACATGGTCCAATACTATTTTTCTACCAGTTATTCAACCTGTTAGAACTGATTGTTGCTAATTACACATGATCAAGTATTTCACTAGTTTAAAGGAGACATCTATGATGTGTCTAATGGAATGCTGTATCAAGATTCTTAATAAAACATCTTAGTGACATCTTTATCTGTTGTTTTCCTCTATTTGGCTACTCCAGTGGGTAATGAGTTTGCCCGTCACATCACACACCCCTCCTGGCTTCTACTGTTCTGTTTCTGACTTCTGTTCCTATTGCTTGATGTTTAGTGCTGCTGTTTCTGACTTCTGTTCCTATTGCTTGATGTTTAGTGCTGCTGTTTCTGACTTCTGTTCCTATTGCTTGATGTTTAGTGCTGCTGTTTCTGACTTCTGTTTCTAATGGTTGATGTTTAGTGCTGCTGTTTCTGACTTCTGTTCCTATTGGTTGATGTTTAGTGCTGCCATCAGCAATGTTCCCTCCCTACCCCAGGCATTCAGTTGCCTCTCACAGCAGGAATAGACTACTGGGGACCTATTTTAAACTGGAATCCCTGCAGTGGTACACATGACAAGGTACATGCAGTCCCAAATACTTCGAACACGTCCTCCATTTTGTTATCAGCAAGAGAGGTAATGTGGAAGGCCAGAGCACATCGACAAATGAATACAATTGTTGTGTATCTGTCTCACATGTTAACCCACACTGGTGGAGGCAGACCGGTATTGTGCTTCTTAAAGATACTTTAGGCAAGAAATTGACAAAGTCTCTGGTATTTGCTGTGCAGAGTTGTGTCCCTTCCTTGTATAAGCATCCTGTAATCATCATCACAGGGTTTGCATCCCATGAATGGGGGGGGGGGGGTATAAAAAAAATGACTCAGCATCAGAGAGGGTGTGGCCAGATGCATCGCAACTATAGGAGATGGGGAAGCATGAAAATAGTACAGTTGCCCCTTCCAACCCCATACTAAATGACATAAATTGAAACTTTGAGATTAAGCCGGTGGTAGAAATTGGTCCCCAGTACCTCTTGCTAGTCGTGGGAGACAACTAGAATGGATCTGGTTGTCTACTTAGGTCACTGGAATGGAATCTTGCATGGCATGGGTCATGGATCATCTTATTAGTCACTGGCATGCGGGCCCAGAGTAGATTGTTTGATCCTCTTGATGTAGCTGACAACTGTTACCTTGCCTTTCCAGGACAACCATCTCTACTGCTGATGTAGTCTCAGAGTATATGCATAAGGTCAGTGCGTGAGACTTCACCACTAGTTCTGATACTTCTTAGCAGTGTCTAGACCTGCTTCAGGAATATAAATTTCTCTTTGATTTCTATGCATACCGCAACACAACTAGTCTCCATATAGCCAGTGCCTGAGTGAGTTAAGCTGCTTTCAAAAGTGTATCAGTCATGGCAACAGTATATCAGTCTTGGCAACAGTATATCAGTCATGGTAACAGTACATCAGTCATGGTAACGGTCTATCAGTCATGGCAATAGTGTATCAGTCTTGGCAACAGTGTATCAGTCATGGTAACGGTGCATCAGTCATGGCAACAGTGAATCAGTCATGGCAACAGTGTATCAGTCATGGCAATAGTACATCAGTCATGGTAACTGTGCATCAGTCATGGTAACAGTCAATCAGTCATGGCAATAGTGTATCAGTGGTGGCAACAGTGTATCAGTTGTGGCAACTGTGCATCAGTCATGGTAACAGTGTATCAGCCATGCTAACAGAGAATCAGTTATGGTAACAGTGTATCAGTCATGGTAACAGTGTATCAGTCATGGTAACAGTAATCAGTCATGGTAACAGTGTATCAGTCATGGCAACAGTATATCAGTCATGGTAACAGTGTATCAGTCATGGTAACTGTGCATCAGTCATGGTAACAGTCTATCAGTCATGGTAACAGTGTATCAGTCATGGCAACAGTATATTAGTCATGGCAACAGTGTATCAGTCATGGTCACAGTGTATCAGTCATGGTAACAGTGTATCACTCATGGTAACAGTATATCAGTTGCGGTAACATTGTATCAATTCATGGGAACAGTATATCAGTCATGGTAACAGTATATCAGTCATGGTAACAGTGTATCAGTCATGGTAACAGTGTATCAGTCATGGAACTGTATATAAGTTAGGGTAACAGTATATCAGTCATGGTAACAGTGGATCAGTTACATAATACGTGTTTGTTTATATTTTATGGTATGCTCAATTCAGTTAGGTAAACAAACAAACAAACATTTCTGTTAGGTATTTGTTTAGATTTTGTTTCATTCTGACACGCTCTGATGAATTGCAATGCCTTGCGTAAACTTGCAAATCGTGAGCTTCTTGCATTGGAGCGCATGAAGTCAAACCTGAACTTCAACATATTTGAAAATCAATGTCTGACAAAAACTTCTATTTCTCAAGAGAAAAAAAACAACTGTTGCTACCTGTAGCTTACACAGCAAATTATTAGAATCAATTTTATTGAAGCCAATGTTATATACAGAGACAACAGAACTGTACTATGCACCATCAAAGAATCTGATATAACAATTGCAATGATTTATGGAATTATCAAACTGTTCGATCGACAATGCAGGTTTGCTTTTAGCCATCTATAGAGTTACACATCATCTACCCCACTCCCAACATATACCCACATCCACCCACCCTTACATCTTCTCAAGCAACCCAACTCACACCCTGCGCACACTGATCCATACCCTTCCTATAATCCCATCCATCCCAAACCCAAACCCAGCCACACACATACCAAAAACTCACAATCTATATACAAGAAGCTTTTATAAATCTGGTGACCGTCGAGAGGTGAGCACCGAGTGGTTGATGGTCTGTCCGTCCGCTCTCAACCTCTGTCTAATAGCTCTGTCAGTGTCACTAATAAGCACAAACGACGTGAGATGACTGTCATCAAACTTCGGGTACGACCTCTCATACTCCTCCTCTTCCACCCCCACCGTCTTCAACAAGACCCTGGCCTCCTGTGTCATGTGTTCAAGTCGTATCTTACGGAAGTGGATGGACTGCATCCGGTACAGCGCATGAACCAACTCCCCGAGACCCAGCCCCACGAGACGCTTGAGGAACGCCAGAGCTCCCCATACTGGGTGTGTGGTGCGAGGATGCTCTATCCGTAGCTCTCTGGGGACAGGAGGGAAGAGTCTTTTCTGGCATATACTCGCAGCAGAAGCTATCATTCCTGGGAGTAAAAGAAGTTTCTTAATCTTGTGAGCACAGAGAATTAGCAACTGTTCATCTGTCAGCTGAAACATATTCACTGACGTCCTAAACGATCGGAAACTGCTTGGTGTTAATCCGGAGCTGGGGCTCTTCTGGTCTAACCCTTGGTTATAAAGCTCTGCATCCTCCTCAGGAGGGATCTGTATACTCCATGGTGCATTACCCTGGGACATGTTAGTGCTTGACACATTCATGTGCATTGCTGCATCATCGTCTGTGCATCCCTCTAGGTCCTCAACGTCACCGCTGCCCTCATCATCCACAGTAATGACCATCACTTCCTTGTTGATCTTGTGCTGCTCCCTAAATGCCTCTGGTACCTTACCCCTGTGTCCATCATCCTGCCGCGGTCTCTTACATTTAACAATATCAACAGACGGTTGCTCGTGTTCTGTTGAGGAATGTACTAGCCACGATGGTCCGGATTCGCCACTTGATATGAACCCAGGGCCGATGGAACATGTTTCTTGTGCTTTTGAGTAAGTTGATGTCTTCAAATCCACATGGGACCATTTCCCGGACTGACACCTCCCCATGGTGACTGACAGTCCCTCCTCCGACCATCGCCCACCTCGCCCCACCTGTGGCAGGAACACCATCTCTTGCACCTGTTTGTGGCCTACGGGGGCAGGGCCATCGATGAAGGAAGTGTCATGACTGACCTCCATCCTGTCCGGCATGTCCTCCCACATGTTGTCCTCGCTCAGGCCTTCCTCGTTGGGCAGGAAGGACATCTTTTGGTTGATCAGGTACATCAGGATCTGAAAAGGAAACATACCTATAACTCCCTGTGGTTGTAGATTTAACCCTGTTTGCCAATGAGGTCCCAAGTACATCATGCTTGACGTGGGATCGAGTGGCCAGGTTCTGTGACTGTGAGGACATGGATCCTTGGTCATAATTTCATTCACTGGTATTGCAGAGCAGAAAAGTTCCCAAACAAACCCCATGCTTGTCCTAAGATCTTACTCATCAGCGGAGATTGTCTACATCTTATGAAAACTTGACTTCAAAGCTTTTCTATTAGAATGAAATTCATAAATCACATCAGCAATCCAAGAAACGACAAGAGAGTCGGCCATTTAAGCACATAGAATGGCGAATGTTAACGGCTTATATGTGCATACAGAGGCTGGTAATGAGAAACGGGTGGCCACGTTGTAGTCAGTAGTTGTTGACGTCAGTCGTGCTCTGCACTGCCTGGCACAGAGTCGATAATGTACCAGCCATCAAATTGTAGCTATAACAGTACTGACTTTATCGTAAAACAACATTCACTCACTCATTAAAGATTGGCTCTTTTGCCTCAAAATAGTCAGGACAGCATTACCGAAATTGGATATCAATATCGCACGTACTAAAGGCTCTTATCTGAAAAGTAATTTGTCATGTCGCCGTTTCACACACTGGGCTTCTTAATTGGTAAGATCAGAGTTCCCACCTATCTCACAACTCCTGGCCGCCTTCAAAACGACATACGATACCGAAACTAGTGATAGTAATAGCTTGTGATCGGTTCAGAATAATAACCCGAGAAAATATCATTACCGCATGCATAACATCTTCAAACAAACCATCATACAGGTGTTGAGGCAGAGAGGGTACTATGGTGACACGGGCACCTTTGATAACTGTGTGGAGTTTCGTCCCTTAGTCCTGAAGGATTTGCTGGTTGCGGGTTCGATTAAGTACGCCCCGATTATACAGCTTGCATGGTGTCTCAGCACGACGTGTACAAGCACAACGTATATTAGCGCTCGCGGTTTCAACAACGTTGACCCTGCGTCACATTAACATTGGGCTTTCATCCTACTTTCAGGTGATATGCCACGGTTCCGTAACACTTCAATGCAAACACTCCGCGTGCGGAACAGCCAATCGTTGACACTGGACACTATATTCTCCCCTGACCAGTGAGGATCCAGGTTAGAATAGATCTTCAGCAACCCACGCTTGTCGCAAGAGGCGACTAACGGAATCGGGTGATCAGACTCGCTGACTTGGTTGATCATGCATGTCATCGTATCCCAATTGCGTGGAGTGATGCTCATGATGTTAATCACTGAATTGTCTGGTGCAGACTCGATTATTTACAGACCGCGTCATAAAGCTAGAATATTGCAGAGTGAGGCGATAAACAACAAACAAAACGAAAGACATTCTCACCTGTCTGGCCGAGTCAACAGTGTCGGCCGTGATGGCGGTAGATGGGAGCACGTGGGCGCCAGACCCACGTGCAGATAGGTCCAGTCCATTCTTGAGTGCCGTGAGCACGGCACAAAATCTGGCCAGATGACCAGCGGCTTTGGCTAGCACCCCTCTTCTTCTCTCGTCATAGAGGAACCCACTCTGCCACAACTCCAGCTCTGCTCTACATCTTGAACACCAGTACATTTCCAATGACATTATTGACATTATTAGACATGGACACAACAGATGCTTAATGTATTGATAAGGGTGATTGATAAGTTCTAACCCTCACATAGAATCTGCGTAATTTTGAAATCTTATATTGTGCACATTACATGAGGTCATAGGGACATATCCACAAAACATGAGAAACTGTAGCAGCTCGGTTCGTTGTGACAAGTCAGTAAAGTAAGCAGAGAGCTGTGACCTTTGGAAAATGGACAAACGTGAAAAACGTGCAGTGGTCAAGTACTTGCAGAACCACCAAATGCAATCCACGAAGATACGAATACAACACTAGAGAAGGATGCCCCTTCGTATGCCACGAGGGAGCACGCGTGGCCCAGTTGTGTAAGGCACTGCAATTTGCTGGGCACACCAGGAACCTATAATTGTGGGTTCGAATCCCGGCTCGCCACGATTATGTTCCCGGGTTTGTCAGCACCATACCCGTGCTCGTGGTGTTTCACTTAAGTGGTTAACGTCTGAGACTTACATCACTTCGGGTTTTCCTTCCACATTAAGCTGACAAGCCCTTATATAAGTCTCATATCCAATTCACTCATTTACTCACTCCCGTGCCACCGTTAAGAGACGGACAACAGAGTTTAAGCTCGGTACGTTGTGCCTTGAAGACGACCCTCGTCCTGGAAGGTCTGTCACAACAGCAACACCAGAAACGATTCAGAGAATTCACCAAATAGTGAAGACCGACCAGCGAATAACTAAAAATCATATTCCTAGTAGTCATTTCCCAGGAGCGAAGTACATTCCATTATCACTGAAACGTTGGCAAAAAAGAAAAGAAAGTGACAGCTCGTTAGGTTAAAAAAGGCAACAGGCACAACATGTTTTGTGATAATCTCGCTCTGTCCATTGCTGTTTGGAGCTGATCCAGAAAGGTTCTTGCAACAACTTGTGATTATGGATGAAACTAGGGTTCACCACTTCCAGTCTGAGAATAAGAACAATAAAACAGTGGAAGCATTTGACATCGCCACCAGCGGATCTTCCCGAAGCAAGGGAGTTAACTGACTTTAAAGGTTTAGTTTCCACACTTGCCGAGGTTGGCTTTAATTATGGCGTTATATTTTGGCTGGACAAACGAGTCTATGCATAGTCCAATCAAAATCCCGTAACGATATCGACACCCTATTATAAATAACATGGCGACTGCCGTGCCGAATTCGTCCTATTGCAGGATTTGCAGAGCATGTGTACATGTCTTAGAAGGGACATAACTCGTAATAGCCAGTGGTGGCGCTACGATCGAACGCAGAAATTCCAGCCTAGTTCGACAAATGTGGAAACTGGACATTTAATGTCGGTTTATTCTCTTGCCACCAGCAAAGCAGACAAAGACTGTCCCATCCGCTAGAAATGTTATGGTCTCCTTGTTCTGGGATGCCAAGGGTGTCATCGTGGTTGAGTAATCTTCCAAATGGTCAGACGATAAACGGAACATACTATGCTGCACTGTTGTGGCAATTACGGGATGAATTTAAGACTAAGAGACACGGGAAGCTGAGGAAATTTGTCCTCTTCCATCAAGACAATGCACATGTGCACAAACCAGTCACTGCCATGGCTACAATCCACGAGTGTGACTTTGAGCCCCTTCAGCACCCACCATATTCTCCTAAGACTTCCATCTGTACCTAAATATAAAGGAAGCTATGCACAGTAAAAAATGTGTATAGTTCCTAAACACAAACACAAACACGTTCCTTGTTCCATAATTTTGACATGTTTGGATCTAAACATATTTAGGATTGTGTTAAACAGCTTAACGTGTTTAGAGTCTAAATGTGGGAAAGAACCGTATAACCCCCTAGTTGATACCTTGATACGTACGCCTTCATTGTAAGTAATTTAAAACGGGGGTGCTTGCTGAAAAAACGTTAAGGGTCTATGTTGTAATCAGATATACTTTCATTGTCAGCCTCCGTTTCCTGTATGATAAAAATAATGTTGGTCATTCAACAACACATTTATGAACGCAACACTTTTTGAACATCGGCGGCATACGACCCTGCAACCTCTTGATGTGTTGTCCTTCACGCTACCATCTGTGCTACGGAGATTGTTGTCGTCACAGATGTCAATTTTCCCAGTCACCATTAACCTAGCTGGTTTGTTGTACATTACGTTGGGTTAAATATCGTTACACGTTCATTGTAAGTCCTGGTGATATTTGTGTTATGATTTGCTAATAAATATTATATATCTGATGAATATTTGACTTACTGCTTAAAGATATGCAATCTATTTCAACATGTGTAAACGCGCTTTAAGTCTAAATATGCTTAAATCCTTAACATGTTTACAAATGTTTAAACATGTTTAGATTATGAAGATATAGTGTTTAGGTGACGTTTAATATTTAGGCTGTGAGACCATAGCTCATTTCATGTGTTTAGACCCTAATCGTATGAAGATAGAAGACGTCAAATGTGTATTCCGTTTGGATTTAAGCACATCCCTAAACATGTCTTTTATGTGTTTACATTCTAAACACATATTACACTGTGTAGCCGGAACCCATTTCGACTCGAACGATGACGTCATAGACACTGTCCACAACCTTTAGGGCAGTCCAGAGAAGGACTTCTACGAAACTGGGATAAAATCCCTTCAAAAAGTGTATTAATGTGAAAGGGGGTTAAGTTGAAAACCACATTATTTTAACGTGTTTTTGTCAATTATTTCTATGTGAGACTCACAGTCTTTTAATCACCCCTCCATAATTCTGATAACTGACTTTAATACATAAAGATAAGTATCTCAAGCGTTATATCGAGAGTAGTCGCCCCCTTGTTACATCCAAGCAGGTACCCATGTTGCAACGTAGATAACCATGGACCACAGAGTTACCAATACAAGGACAAGGTAGGGTGAGGGTCCTTTCTGGCCTACGTTTAGAGTGAGTGAGTGAGTGAGTGAGTTTGAAACATAATCGGGCGAACCGGGATTCGAACCCACAATCATAGGTTTCTGGCATGCCCAAGGGACGCAATTCTGCACAGCGAATCGCGGCGCCTTAGACGACTGGGCCACCCGTGCCCCCGCATAAGTTTAGAATGGAGCAACAAGCTTAGATATTGGTATGAAGGTTATCACATATGTTTATATGAAAGAGAGCCTAAGGTTGTTCATTTTAACAAATGCATGTTTGTGGCTAGAAACGCAACACTAAATGCATAGGTAAAACCAAGCTGTGTCAAAAAGGCTGATCGTAGAGGTTTCCATGACGCGTTTGTCTAAGATTTGAACATGAGCACGTCTTTGAGCCAAGCTGATGTACATTAACACATTAGATATGGCAAACATATCACTTGGGGTCACGGAACTGCTCATCCTCAGATTTTGGTTTAAAGTTCTGAAAATCTACCTTTGTGTAGTTAACCACGTCAGAAGTCCCTTTGGGGGGACTTAAATTGGGACAAATATTTTAATCGTCAAATACTTATCCACGTTTGGTTAAAGAAAAGTACATTTAAAAAGTGTAAGCTTGGAATCACCTGATGGTAATATAAAGATAAGATCAGTACGAATACAATTAAACATGTACAATTCAAAATGCTGTTTTATTCGATTAATATTAGGCCCTGCTGGACGGGAAAATATATTGAAAAAGGGGACATCTCAAATTGGCCAATTTATATAACACTTGCATACAATGTTGGCCCATTCAGCCTCTAATATGGTCTCATTCTCACCTTTGAAACGTGGTCCGGCCATCCTCGGTAAAGACGTAAGACACCGTCTGCACCTGGTGGTAGTTCCTGATACTGGACAGAATGCGCTGAATAGGAGGCAGGGATTCCACAGAAGACGGCGTCGTCTGCTCCGAATGACATCCATGGTCTCTCGGGCAGACGACAAGAACTCGATCAGACAATCCATCAGCATCGAACATCTCCATAAGTGCCGCTGCATCTATGGCTTCTATCATGGCTAGACAGCTACAGTAGACAGTAGAGGGCGCATCTTCAGAGTTTGTTCCAGAAGAAAGGCTGACCGATGAATCGTACATCGACAACAGAAGCTGAGGGTCGAGGAATTTGGATTCCAGAGAGCTGTGTCTGAGAAAGGTTCCAAAGTTATCGAACATTCCTACCAAAGTGTGCGACCCTGGCGTTTTTCTGAGGCTTTCCTCTGCCTGTGGAAGATTATGCTCGTCTATCACAAACCTGGGGTAATGTTTGTCACTTATATTCGAGTTCTGGGTCCTGTGTAAAGCTTGAATTTCTTTTTCCAAACCACAAATTGCAGACTTTATCCTTTTCAATGCTGGTGTTTTCTTGTCACCTCTTCTCCCTGCCACGAGAATCCAGAGAATCGGCTTTTCCGACCAATCAACGTCGATATTAACATCCGTCTCAGAACCCATGCAAGCCGAAACTGCTACTAGCAGGGGAAACAGGATTGTCTCCCTTGTACAACCGATCGCATCTGCGTGCGATTTTATTAGCCTTGCAATAGCAATATCAAAAGCTTCATCAAAGTTGTTTAAACCGGTCTGTTGGGCCAGACGAATTCTCTTCAAATATGTCCGCACTGCCTCCGGTGAATATGTCCGAGGAAGCATGTTGGTGATTTCTGACTGTCGCGTTAGCTGACCAAGCATTGATTCGTGTGCCGCAGTCGCGAAATGCAGCTACTAAATTTAGCACGTCGCGTTAGCTATCGGCTGTCATAATGGCGAACTCCGGACAAACAGGGACTTGCCTAGAACCGGGTGAACCCATGTAACAGTCTGTTACATACATACATTTGGCTCTCTCGCCTTCAACGTTTACACAAATAATTACCCTCTAGCCACGACAACTAGCCACAAAGAGTATGGTGACCTACTTCTGTGAATTTGCTAGGCTAGACCATTCACGTTAATTAGCAGGTAAGCTAGCTAGCACATGGACGATTCCATGTTAGGGGGAGGTTTGTGAATGGTGTTGAGCTAGGCAGTTGTTCACCATTTTCCTGAGACTAACATTCAGTCTCTGAAAATATCTTATGAACAGGTAAAATAATGGTCATACTAAATAACGCCCGGGGGTATTAATAACCCTCAAGTTTCAGAAGAATAAGAATGGGATGAGAATAGGCTGATAGAGCTGAGGACGGAATTGGGAAGGGGTTGGAGTGTTTTGTATGCTCTGGGTATGAAAGACGCACTACATTTATTGGTGACTGAGATTGTGTTTACACCATTGTAAGCAATATTTATGCTACATCACATCAGTAAATGGAAATACCAATATCACATTTACCTCCATATATTATATACTTTATTCTAAAAAAAACAAAAAACTCTCAACTGCTATCAACGGACGAGTTTCACCGAAACCACAGTTTGCATGTAAGTAGTTGGCTCGGGGCCGACGGTGTTTTTGTTTGGATGTTAGTTGTTGAACGCCGCACTCAGCAATATTCCAGCTTTATGACGGCGGTCTGTAAATAATCGTGTCTGGACCAGACAATCCAGTGATTGACATCATGAGCATCGATCTACGCAATTGGGATACAATGATAAGCATCAACCAAGTCAGCGAGCCTGCCTGACTACCCGATCGCGTTAGTTGCCTCTTACGACAAGCAAGGTTTGCTGAAGACCTATTCTCTACCGGGATCTTCACGGGTCGGTCCGACAGGGGTTAACTTCAGCAATATCTTCCACGCCATGGGGGCGCGGTGACATATTATCAGCAAGGTCACGCATTGAAAGTATACATATGTACAATAATTCCTCATTTATTGCAAGGCTTGGGTTCCTGGGAATCTATCCAAGCGTGGAGTTTGCACGATGGTCACAATTATTTATTGGACAGTTTTTGCTGTCACTCCAACATGTCCAACTCAGGTATCTGTTAATCATACCCCATGCAATACCGTATGGTACCTATAAACGACGGACAAACATTTATTTCATATGATTAATACCGTGTTGCACTTACGGTGGTATATAATATGCGTATACAACAGTATATTTTGAAACATAGCTGTACAACGATGTAACAATGTTGTTGCAACTGTTCTTCAGAACACATAAGGGAGACAACAAATTGTGACATAGTGCACTAATGTGACAAAGGACAGTGAAAGGTGGCTACAACGTATCTATTCATACTTATTTGTATACACATTGTACCTAGTAATTTTTGTAAAGGGCCTTCACTATAACTGTTATTAAAAGCAGTGTCTTCTTAGGATTTAGAACCGACCATTTGATATTCTTGCCTGTGGATGTGGGTGTGGTTGTGGCTGGGGCTGGAATTTTGTATCGAGATGAGATTGTACTTCAGCTTCAGCTACAAAGCCAAAAACGTTTAGCCTGAATCTTTTTCTAAGAAGCTCCTAATGATAACGCATTCCTTGTGGCTACAAATGCTGTCAGTGGCGAAACCGACACTGAGAAAACAGCAATTAAGTCTTGCCAAGAGGTACAGCTTGAGAACTTGCCAATTCAACAGTTCGTACGTAACGTTCCATTTATAACCTGTGACCTACATGTTAATAATGACTAGGCTCTGTCCTTGAAGGTTACTATTAAACGACAAGCGATGAGAATTCGCTGCGAGCAGACGTTTATCAGTCAGAGCTGCGGATGTCGGTTTTCACGAATATGCTATTTTCCTAATGCTTTTTCTACAGACTCATATTTCAAATGAATGTGACATGTGTTTCATAATTGTTCATTATTTTCGGTTTATATTGTTTCCATGGTGCTGAATAATATTGCGTTCTACGAAAGTTTCCAGGTTGCATACTATAACCAAAGACGTACATAGATGTTCGTCCGTGCTGTAACTAATCAAGACATGTAATACTGTGTGTCTGCTGGCACATGATTTTGACACGACTGGACCTCGCCGTCTATATTTGATATTTGATCTAGTGATCATCGTTAATATCAATTATAATTGTTTTCAAGTCGTGTAATCAAGAACAAATGCCAAGAGACAAAAGATCAGAATGTAAACGTTGTCCAACAGACGTCTCCGAAATTTGAAAGTATAGAAATTGTTGTAAGGGATGTAGAATGTGTAATCTCCCACGCTATGAGCGGTTTATCCGGGGCGATAGAACCGTGTGTATACCCAGGTAGTTCAGGTGGACGTGCTTGTGACAGTGGGACCAGCCAGGGCACCTTACCATCCAGCATGGAGACGCTACCAAGCGACATGGTCGACGGCGAATACAGCGAGGAAGACGACGCAGAGGAGACGTGGGGCAGATTGTTTCCTCTGGGAGCTAGCTTCGTTGCAGTCGGTTAGAATCGTATGCTCGTGTTTCTTCCGTGCGGTGTGACAACAATGTCAAGCTTCAACATGCTCCCTAACTGACCTACTTCTCTCGTGATACGAGCCCCTGGGATGTTATGTTGCAAAATATAGACACTGTTTGATGGTCTGAGCAGGTTGTCACCCCTTAAAATATGGCCGCGTCCTCATCAGTTCTGAGGTTGAGGTCGTTATGGGGAGACATGGCCAGGAATGTCATTCATGGCATGTAACGCTGTACCGGCAAGCCAACAAGTCAGTGATGCGTGTTGTGTAAATAAATCGTCATTTAACACTCATTCATAGAAGTAAATAAATTATGTTCAATAGGTATATATTCTTTTGCTCTATTGGAAATCGTACTATTATTATCGTACTGTGTCAATTTTTTTATTTTTTTTATTATAATCGTTTAGTCAAAGCAGAGAATTAAAAGTATACAGCTGAACATAAGCTGAAGTGACCAATAATTTGAAGATTAGAATAAACTTGATCAGACCTTTCATGTTGATTATTTATCTTGTGGCGTTCATGGTCCAGATTACAGATTCATTTCAATTTTTTTATGCATAAAAGTCTTGGAAAACATGTAAGCTCAAATGGGATTCATTCACTGTTCATCTTTAAATTTATTGGAATAAAAACATTTCAGTCATGGTAAATTCAAAGTCAGTGTTTGAAGGGAGGTCAGTGTGACCTCGATTTATAAGTCAGTGTAGAGTTGATTGGCTGTCATTATTGTATGTCAAGTAACACACAAATGTGTGTCCAGTATGCACAATTGTATGTCAAATGACACAAATATGTGTCCAGTATGCACAATTGTATGTCAAGTAACACACAAATGTGTGTCCAGTATGCACATATGTGTGTCAAATGACACAAATATGTGTCCAGTATGCATAATGTTGAGATTGGACACAGATAAAGAATATACTGGGTCCCAAGGGACGAACAATAATATTGATTGTACATACAGCACATGAGGAGTTATGGGTGTCTGTTATTTCATCCATCAATTATGACCACTGTCCACAAGACCATTGATTCATTCCAGGCTCTTAAGTAATTATCAAACCGTACTGTACACAGCACCATGACATTAATTTACAGAACCCTCATTGGGAATATTATATACATGTGTACTCTCCATTGAACATGGTGAGAGTGAACAGTTTCCAGTGACTTGCAGTTCATTAATGTGAGTGAGTGAGTGAGTGAATACTGTACCTGTGTCACAGTTGTCACTCTTCCAGGTATCTCAATGACTCTTCTGTTCTGCAGAAAGTGTAGTGTTAAATTTCTGTTCCTCCTTTTCAGATATGGTGAAGGATGAGTATACATTTGGCAGGGGAGACAACTGTGATGTGTCTTTCAATGGAACTTCAGCAGCTCGGAAGAACCAGTGTTTCCAAGCCTACAGCAAAGTTCATTTCAAGCTAATCCGGGTAATGTTTGTCATGAATATATCTTACAGGGTACAATCCCATTAGTCAGGACACCCATCTCCTAGTGACTGTAGGAAGTCTACATATTTACAAAGGGCTAGAAGACTGCAGTCAAGAGCCCAGTCAAGGTCTAAACTTTGTAGTTATAGTCATGTGCTAAATTACTACAATGTGTCTGCTAACATAATGGCTATGTTCACTCACTCATTAAAACACTCTGTTTTAGGAACACAAGACTGCTTTAAGGTTTGGTTTGAAATAGACTGCCATCTCTGTCTCTGATTTTTCTAATGACCACTACACAATTATTGACATTATCAACTATTTTTCCATGGACTTCGTGGCCAAATGTCCCTGCGGAATTCTTTTACACGAGTCATTCAAAGGTCAAGGTCACAGGATAGAAAAAACAAAAGTTTATAGTTTAAAATCTTGTTTTTATCCTTTAACTGGATACATACCTTCTTTTGGATGGGTCCCTACTGTGGAAGATTAGTCAAAGATCAAGGATGATTATGTTTTGGTACAGTATGGTTTTATGATTGTCAGTTTTTGAGACATGATTTTCTCAAAGACATTGAACCTTATTACATTTGATATATACATGTTTCTTAAGAATCTGAACAGCATTTATGTCACAGGTCAAGATCACCTTTGCGGTGTCTTGTCAAAGGTAGTTGTCTCATGTTTTGCAGTGAGACTGTCAAAGGCCAAGGTCATGAGATAGAAAAAAACAAGCACAATAGTGCATTAACTAATGCATGTACATATAAACTTGGTAGGTACCTTCTTGGGCTGGGGCGGGTAACTCGGGTACCCGTGTCGGGTGGGTACTGAGTAGGGCCTGGGTACCCACAGGACTACCGGGACCCGTGGTAAGTCACATGATATATTGTTTAATGACATAAATTATCTAGAACTCTATGGTTACACTACAAGTCACTAATGTTCGCATTTATTTCTGACTATGCACCCATTCTTTCTGACTTTTCATTTGGTTGAATAAAGATAAAACTGAAGTCAACTTCAGTGTATGCATGACAAGATTGTTTAATACATGTATCTAAATATGTTTTGCCAGGGCTATGGAAAAAAAAATCTGAATCGGACATTTTGTACCTATCTCTTGAGACCTACAGTGGGTACCCGGGTAGGGTTGTGTAATAGGGAGATGGGTACCCGGGTAGGGTCGTGTAATAGGGAGATGGGTACCCGGGTAGGGTCGTGTAATAGGGAGATGGGTACCCGGGTAGGGTCGTGTAATAGGGAGATGGGTACCCGGGTAGGGTCGTGTAATAGGGAGATGGGTACCCGGGTAGGGTCGTGTAATAGGGAGATGGGTACCCGGGTAGGGTCGTGTAATAGGGAGATGGGTACCCTGGTAGGGTCGTGTAATAGGGAGATGGGTAACCGGGTAGGGTCGTGTAATAGGGAGATGGGTACCCGGGTAGGGTCGTGTAATAGGGAGATGGGTACCCGGGTAGGGTCGTGTAATAGGGAGATGGGTACCCGGGTAGGGTCGTGTAATAGGGAGATGGGTACCCGGGTAGGGTTGTGTAATAGGGAGATGGGTACCCGGGTAGGGTCGTGTAATAGGGAGATGGGTACCCTGGTAGGGTCGTGTAATAGGGAGATGGGTACCCGGGTAGGGTCGTGTAATAGGGAGATGGGTACCCGGGTAGGGTTGTGTAATAGGGAGATGGGTACCCGGGTAGTAAATTTGGACTTGTCCCAGTCCTAGTATCTTCTCTTTCTGTCAATCTAAGGTGCAGGTCATCTTTGATGTTATTGTAAAACGTTCTTTGTTATTTATTGTTGCACTTTTACTTGTACAATCCTGAGACTTTGGTATATATGATGTCTTAGGGTCCTGGTCTGGAAGAACATGGTGGTATGTTAAGGCAGTGTGAGCTTTCATGGCAGTGGCAGGTCTGTTTCTGTTTTTGCAAGTACCTGCACACCTTTACATTTTTATCATGAAACAAAAGCATCACAAGCCCTCATTCACCTTGAATACAATGTTTTCTTTCAGCAAAGCACCAGCACAGGCGTTCATGTGTTCCTGGAAGACACCAGCAGCAATGGAACTTTCATCAATGGCGAGAAAGTTGGTAAGGACATTCTTTTGAACATCCCTGAGAGAATTTCTGGGCAAAATCATTCATGCAGTACTCCAGGCATGTTGTAAGAGCTGTCTGATATAGTGATAGGCATATTGGAATATTGGTTGAAATGAATCAGATTATATCTTTGTGTGAATATCTGACAACTCCATAGGAGGCTACAAGTGGGCAAAAGCGTCCAGAACAGCAAATGTTCTTCTTTTATCTTGAAAACAAACTTAAACAGCCAGTTCCTAATCAAACTAAAGGCTGCACCATTATGTTGTGGATATTTTGTGCACTCTGTGGTTTCTGACATCCGTAGCTTTCAATACCTGAAAGGGAGCACCCCCGAATGAATGTTTGAAATCTGTAGGGGATCCACTGCACTACCGTCCCGACAATAATAAAATAGCATGTATTTGTAAAGCCTTACACTTGATATGGATGAGTTTGCTTCGGAACTTTAGAGATAGAGTGATGAAAATCTGACATGGACTGGGGAAGTGGCTCAGTGATTCATACAACCATACTCTACTGCATCCCATTGGATTTGCAGTGTGTATAATTTGACCCCATTCTCAATTTAGTGCATGCAATAATTTGTGTCTGTTAGAATCCTGGACATGTATAACATGAGGTATCAATTTACATACCGTACATGTTGATGGCAATACAGTGCGACGTTTAACCCAACTCACTCAATCAGTGATGGTAATTTGAATAAATTTACCAAGATCAGAACATTTTCAATATATCACGTTGAATGTTGAGTGTAACTTAATATGTAGGATGTTTGTATTGATATATTTATAGCTTTACTAATGCGTTAGGGATCTATTTTAAACAAAACCATATTTAATACTAAGAGTGCATCTCTTTTAAGGACAAGTACATGTTTTCAATGTGCTGCACATGTTTCCGAGGCAAGGGAGTTAATTGACTATATAAAAGTCCAGTTTCTACCCTAGACAAACTAAGCTGGAATTTCGTGGCTGGATTGTAGTGCTACCATGGCTGTTATGAGTTACGTCCATCCCCGGTCCATCCTATTGACCAATCAGATTCCCTCTCTCATATCACTTCCATTTGCTTCAAACAGAATTGCGGCATCCGGTCAAGACGATCTGATCGATAATCATTATCTTTATTGTAATAACACAAGTCTTACCTCGCCAAATACATTAAATCACTTGAGCACCTTGATTAAAAATCTGAAAAAAGTATTTGTCGACCCCCAGTTGACAGTACACATGCTCTGTAAGTCCTGCAATTGACCGAAATCTGCATGGCAGTCGCCATGTTGTTTATTAACCAGATGTCAATTTTGTTCCACGATATTGATTTGACTATGTTTGTCTAGCCAAAATATAACTCCATAATTCCAGGCCAGTTCGGCAAGGGTGGAAATTGGACTTTTATGGTCAGTCAACACCCTTGCCTTGGGAAGATGTGTGCTACAGTTGGAGACAAATGATTGTTTATCACTGGCCCATGATACAGTGGATGTCGGGTAGCTCTTCAAACCCTCATACACCAAAACTTGGGGTTGATTCCCAACATTCCTACAACATGTGAAGCCTCGGTAGCCCCTCCGTAAAATCTCACTCTCACACATTATTTCCAGGAAAAGGGAACAAGCAGGTTTTGAACAACAATGATGAAATATCTCTGGCTCTAAAGAAGAACAAAGGTGGGTCCTGCACAGACACACTTTGTGTTTGGAATGACAGCTACTGATGGCACAGCCTGGAGGCATTTGCTTTGTGCAGAACTTTTTGTTTATTATAATAATGAGTTCAAGTTAACAACTAAAACAAAAGAGTACAGGGAATTGTTTCAAGTGAGTGAACACTGTGTATTGTATCTTGAGGTGTGTGTCTAGTGATGCCCCACTGAAGAGTGAACACTGTGTCTTGTATCTTGAGGTGTGTGTCAAGTGATGCCACACTGTGGAGTGAACACTGTGTATTGTATCTTGAGGTGTGTGTCTAGTGATGCCCCACTGTAGTGTGAACACTGTGTATTGTATCTTGGGGTGTGTGTCTAGTGATGCCCCACTGTAGTGTGAACACTGTATATTGTATCTTGGGGTGTGTGTCTAGTGATGCCCCACTGTAGAGTGAACACTGTATATTGTATCTTGGGGTGTGTGTCTAGTGATGCCCCACTGTAGAGTGAACACTGTATATTGTATCTTGGGGTGTGTGTCTAGTGATGCCCCACTGTAGAGTGAACACTGTGTATTGTATCTTGGGGTGTGTGTCTAGTGATGCCACACTGTAGTGTGAACACTGTGTATTGTATCTTGAGGTGTGTGTCTAGTGTTGCCCCACTGTAGAGTGAACACTGTGTATTGTATCTTGAGGTGTGTGTCTAGTGATGCCCCACTTTGGAGTGAACACTGTGTATTGTATCTTGAGGTGTGTGTCTAGTGATGCCCCACTGTAGAGTGAACACTGTGTATTGTATCTTGAGGTGTGTGTCTAGTGATGCCACACTGTAGTGTGAACACTGTGTATTGTATCTTGAGGTGTGTGTCTAGTGATTCCACACTGGAGTGAACACTGTGTATTGTATCTTGAGGTGTGTGTCTAGTGATGCCCCACTTTGGAGTGAACACTGTGTATTGTATCTTGAGGTGTGTGTCTAGTGATGCCACACTGTAGTGTGAACACTGTGTATTGTATCTTGAGGTGTGTGTCTAGTGATTCCACACTGGAGTGAACACTGTGTATTGTATCTTGAGGTGTGTGTCTAGTGATGCCCCACTTTGGAGTGAACACTGTGTATTGTATCTTGAGGTGTGTGTCTAGTGATTCCACACTGTAGAGTGAACACTGTGTATTGTATCTTTGGGTGTGTGTCTAGTGATGCCACACTGTAGTGTGAACACTGTGTATTGTATCTTGAGGTGTGTGTCTAGTGTTGCCCCACTGTAGAGTGAACACTGTGTATTGTATCTTGAGGTGTGTGTCTAGTGATGCCCCACTTTGGAGTGAACACTGTGTATTGTATCTTGAGGTGTGTGTCTAGTGATGCCACACTGTAGTGTGAACACTGTGTATTGTATCTTGAGGTGTGTGTCTAGTGTTGCCCCACTGTAGAGTGAACACTGTGTATTGTATCTTGAGGTGTGTGTCTAGTGATGCCCCACTTTGGAGTGAACACTGTGTATTGTATCTTGAGGTGTGTGTCTAGTGATTCCACACTGGAGTGAACACTGTGTATTGTATCTTGAGGTGTGTGTCTAGTGATGCCCCACTTTGGAGTGAACACTGTGTATTGTATCTTGAGGTGTGTGTCTAGTGATTCCACACTGGAGTGAACACTGTGTATTGTATCTTGAGGTGTGTGTCTAGTGATGCCCCACTTTGGAGTGAACTCTGTGTATTGTATCTTGAGGTGTGTGTCTAGTGATTCCACACTGTAGAGTGAACACTGTGTATTGTATCTTGGGGTGTGTGTCTAGTGATGCCACACTGTAGTGTGAACACTGTGTATTGTATCTTGAGGTGTGTGTCTAGTGTTGCCCCACTGTAGAGTGAACACTGTGTATTGTATCTTGAGGTGTGTGTCTAGTGATGCCCCACTTTGGAGTGAACACTGTGTATTGTATCTTGAGGTGTGTGTCTAGTGATGCCCCACTGTAGAGTGAACACTGTGTATTGTATCTTGGGGTGTGTGTCTAGTGATGCCACACTGTAGTGTGAACACTGTGTATTGTATCTTGAGGTGTGTGTCTAGTGTTGCCCCACTGTAGAGTGAACACTGTGTATTGTATCTTGAGGTGTGTGTCTAGTGATGCCCCACTTTGGAGTGAACACTGTGTATTGTATCTTGAGGTGTGTGTCTAGTGATTCCACACTGTTGAGTGAACACTGTGTATTGTATCTTGAGGTGTGTGTCTAGTGATTCCTCTCCTTGACAATGTATCTGGTGTGTTCTGTTTCCAGCTTATGTGTACATGGACTTGAAGTCAAATGAAGATGCAGATTTACCCAAAGAACTGACAGAAAAGTACACACTAACCAAAACTCTTGGAAGGTAGGAGTACATGAGCAAATGAGTCCCAGTCAAACCTTGTTAAGCCTCCTGTTGTCTCATTTTAGTTTATACGATGTCATCACACCCAGAGAATCACTGCCTTTCTGTCCTGAGCAGTCTTAAATGGACAGGAAGTCAACTGTTCTGAAGCCTTGTTGGTACACAATAGCCAATAACCCCCAAGCTTACTAGGGGCCTGAAGTTATACATCCCTAGAAGGCGTATACAGTATCCCATTAGTTGAAGAGGTAAGGGGCCACTGCCATTGTAACTGAAGGGGATTCTAAGACAGATTAGGCAGAATAACAACATCCTAACATTGCATGCCTAAGCTGAGGATTGCGTGGCCACAATGGCTGCAGAGCATGGCAAATGACCTGGGATCTGTTACTGTGCAGATACTCCCAGAATTACTCCCCACAAAGCCAGCTGGTTGACATGCTGAGTGTAGAGTGACCTCCCCTCTCTTATCAACCCCTGCCTGTACAGACATTGGATGTCTCTGTAAATCAAAGCTACATGAACATTCTACAATTTTATCATGTCTTGAAACTGCTTGAGAAATAACCATGGTTTCACTTTGTGTATTTCCAGGGGAGCTTGTGGGGAGGTGAGGTTAGCTTTTGCCAAAGGATCTTGTGAGAAGTATGCATGCAAGATAATCTCCAAAAAGAAGTTCTCAGTTGGAGGAAAGTCCCAACTAGTAAGTAGACACCGATTGTGTTTCAAGAGGGGATTTGTGTATTTGGTGGCCAATATACCCATATCACTAGATAGTAGATTGACTGGTCACTATGGTGATTGACTGTGGATAGTGCTCGGATGTGTGATTGACAAGAGACTGTAGCACTCATCTATCATAACACAGAAGTCTGGTACTTGTGGCTCTCGGATTGTCATCCCCAACCCAAATCTGCTTCTCGCCCCATTGGGATTAGAGTACCTCATGCTTGGCTAACATTGGGGCTGTCATTCTGTGGAGGAATATAAACTTACTCTCTGATAGCTCTGATGGCTGCTCGTACTCTCACTGGAATTAATTATTTACAGACTGTGGTAATATTGCTGACTGTAGCCTGGCTCTCTAGCCTTGAACTCACACTGTCCACAAAACCATGACCAGGATTCTAATGATCAGGATATGTTTTCAGAACATGGCGTCCCAGGTTATGAGTGAAGTAAAAATACTAAAAGCGTTAAAACATGTAAGTATAATAAAATGGGTGAATTGCTTGAAAAAAAAAGATATCTAGAGAATCTATATGTTGTGTTGACTATTAATATATTTTATCATTCAAAACTGACCTCCATATTGCTTGGGTGACATCTGAAGGAAATAACACTGCTATGAAATTGCATCTCAATGCTCTGCAAAGTTATCCCTCTGCTACTGAAGCTGGTTAGCAGTACTTCATATGGTTAAAACAGTGTTTATTACTGTTTATTACTGTTTACAAAGTGAAAAAGTTGGAAGAATGATGTTGGATGATAAATAGGATCTCACTTGTGTCTTTTGGTATGAAATATATCAACACTCATCGATAGTTTAAAACTCCTTGGCAAGCATCGGAATTTTCATTGTTTATCAACTTGTGTAGATATATTTGATATAGTAAAAGACACTCAGATGAGCTTCTCTATCTTGCGTAAGGTATTTGTGAAAATCAGTTTCAGTAGACCAAAAAAGCAGTGAGCAAAGTTTGATGACAGGTTCCCATGGTTACTGATGGAGGTTCCTACCGATTGTAATTGGAATCACAGCATGAATTGTTTACAGCCTAAACTGTGTTGAGATACGTGATATCAACACCTGTTTACTCTTCCAGCCATGTATCATCAGGATAGAGGACTTGATAGACAATCCTGACACTCTCTTCATTCTCCTCGAGCTGTGAGTATACTTCACACTGGGCAACTGGCGGGACAGAAGGGTCTCCTGTAGTTTGCAATGGAATTCTTGTTGTGTTGATTTTGCCATGAAGATCAGGCTAAGGCCTCATGTTTACATTCATGACATGGGAGTCTCTATACTCATGATAGTAAGTCTATATGTTACTGTATGAACTTATTCTATCTTGTATCTGGTTTTTGCTAAAACATTAGTCTCCCTTGGTAACCAATTGTTTCACAACATCAACTTTCAACCAAAATATATGCATCCAAAGTTACACGTTGCCTGCAAACACACCCTGATGCCCTATTTTGTGTCCACCTTCTAGGGTGGAAGGGGGGGAGCTGTTTGACCGGGTGGTCAGCGTGGGGCAGTTTGACGAACCTACGGCCAAACTGCTCTTCTACCAGATGATTGCAGCCTGTAAGGTGAGTCACTTGATCCAAGCAGGCAGTCCAGGGTAGAATTGATCTCCAGTAGCCTGTGCTTGTTATGAAAGTCCACTAAATCTGATTGTTGGTCTGGCTCAGTGACCTGGCCAGTGGCATGTCATTGTTCACTGATGGTTTGTCAGTCACTGGTTTTCTCCAGTATATGGTGTTTTCGACATGAAACCCCTGTGACAGCTGGAACATTGGTGACTGCAGTGTTCACCAACTTTCACTCACTCTAGGATTGCAAATAGGTTGCAGCCCAAGTTCCACTTACAATGAAATGGATATAAATATGGGATTACTATATAGAACCATGTGTAAGAAATAGAGATTGCAGGTGTGCCTTGTTTGTTTCAGTATCTACATGACCAGGGCATTACTCATAGGGATTTAAAGGTATGTAGGATCTTTTCTCCTATATGTTCATCATGCTCTTATGTAGAAATATATTCAGAAACCTCAGTCATGAAAAGAAATAACTGATGTTTTTAACTTTTATAACACTGATTAACTTATGTGTTCATTTTCAGCCTGAAAATATTTTGTTGGCCTCCGACTCAAATGACACTGTGATAAAGGTACGTACTGACACCTTCCTGATATAGTCCCAGTGTACCTCAGTTCACCCCTCACTTACCGGTAGTTGACTGATGGAATACTAGTTGTACTGTGTTGTTTGATCAAACCAACCATACTTCCTGTCAGAGTCTTTCTGAACAGCAGCACTGACTACCATCCATTACTCAACAAGTAAGCAGCTACAGCACTGACTACCATCCATTACTCAACAAGTAAGCAGTGAGAGCACTGACTACCATCCATTACTCAACAAGTAAGCAGCTACAGCACTGACTACCATCCATTACTCAACAAGTAAGCAGCTACAGCACTGATGACAATCCATTACTCAACAAGTAAGCTGCTAGAGCACTGACTACCATCCATTGCTCAACAAGTAAGCTGCTAGAGCACTGACTACCATCCATTACTCAACAAGTAAGCAGCTACAGCACTGACTACCATCCAATACTCAACAAGTAAGCAGTGAGAGCACAGACTACCATCCAATACTCAACAAGTAAGCAGTGAGAGCACAGACTACCATCCATTACTCAACAAGTAAGCAGCTACAGCACTGACTACCATCCAATACTCAACAAGTAAGCAGTGAGAGCACAGACTACCATCCAATACTCAACAAGTAAGCAGTGAGAGCACTGATTACAATCCATTACTCAACAAGTAAGCTGCTAGAGCACTGACTACCATCCATTACTCAACAGTAAGCAGTGATAGCACTGACTACCATCCATTACTCAACAAGTAAGCAGTGAGAGCACTGACTACCATCCATTACTCAACAAGTAAGCAGTGAGAGCAATGACTACCATCCATTACTCAACAAGTAAGCAGTGAGAGCACAGACTACCATCCAATACTCAACAAGTAAGCAGCTACAGCACTGACTACCATCCATTACTCAACAAGTAAGCAGTGAGAGCACTGACTACCATCCATTACTCAACAAGTAAGCAGTGAGAGCACTGACTACCATCCAATACTCAACAAGTAAGCAGCTACAGCACTGACTACCATCCATTACTCAACAAGTAAGCAGTGAGAGCACTGACTACCATCCATTACTCAACAAGTAAGCAGTGAGAGCACTGACTACTATTCATTATTCAACAAGTAAGCAGTGAGAGCACTGACTACCATCCATTACTCAACAAGTAAGCAGCTAGAGCACTGACTACTATTCATTATTCAACAAGTAAGCAGTGAGAGCACTGACTACCATCCATTACTCAACAAGTAAGCAGTGAGAGCACTGACTACCATCCATTACTCAACAAGTAAGCTGCTAGAGCACTGACTACCATCCATTACTCAACAAGTAAGCAGTGAGAGCACTGACTACCATCCATTACTCAACAAGTAAGCAGTGAGAGCACTGACTACCATCCAATACTCAACAAGTGAGCAGCTACAGCACTGACTACCATCCATTACTCAACAAGTAAGCAGTGAGAGCACTGACTACCATCCATTACTCAACAAGTAAGCAGTGATAGCACTGACTACCATCCATTACTCAACAAGTAAGCAGTGAGAGCACTGACTACCATCCATTACTCAACAAGTAAGCAGTGAGAGCACTGACTACCATCCATTACTCAACAAGTTAGCTGCTAGAGCACTGACTACCATCCATTACTCAACAAGTAAGCAGTGAGAGCACTGACTACATCCAATACTCAACAAGTAAGCAGTGAGAGCAATGACTACATCCATTACTCAACAAGTAAGCAGCTACAGCACTGACTACCATCCATTACTCAACAAGTAAGCAGTGAGAGCACTGACTACATCCAATACTCAACAAGTAAGCAGTGAGAGCACTGACTACATCCATTACTCAACAAGTAAGCAGTGAGAGCACTGACTACCATCCATTACTCAACAAGTAAGCTGCTAGAGCACTGACTACCATCCATTACTCAACAAGTAAGCAGTGAGAGCACTGACTACATCCAATACTCAACAAGTAAGCAGTGAGAGCACTGACTACATCCAATACTCAACAAGTAAGCAGTGAGAGCACTGACTACATCCAATACTCAACAAGTAAGCAGTGAGAGCACTGACTACCATCCATTACTCAACAAGTAAGCAGTGAGAGCACTGACTACATCCATTGCTCAACAAGTAAGCAGTGAGAGCACTGACTACCATCCATTGCTCAACAAGTAAGCAGTGAGAGCACTGACTACCATCCATTACTCAACAAGTAAGCAGTGAGAGCACTGACTACATCCATTACTCAACAAGTAAGCAGTGAGAGCACTGACTACCATCCATTACTCAACAAGTAAGCAGTGAGAGCACTGACTACATCCATTACTCAACAAGTAAGCAGTGAGAGCACTGACTACCATCCATTACTCAACAAGTAAGCAGCTACAGCACTGACTACCATCCATTACTCAACAAGTAAGCAGTGAGAGCACTGACTACATCCATTACTCAACAAGTAAGCAGTGAGAGCACTGACTACCATCCATTACTCAACAAGTAAGCAGTGAGAGCACTGACTACATCCATTACTCAACAAGTAAGCAGTGAGAGCACTGACTACCATCCATTACTCAACAAGTAAGCAGTGAGAGCACTGACTACCATCCAATACTCAACAAGTAAGCAGTGAGAGCACTGACTACATCCATTACTCAACAAGTAAGCAGTGATAGCACTGACTACCATCCATTACTCAACAAGTAAGCTGCTAGAGCACTGACTACCATCCAATACTCAACAAGTAAGCAGTGAGAGCACTGACTACATCCATTACTCAACAAGTAAGCAGTGAGAGCACTGACTACCATCCAATACTCAACAAGTAAGCAGTGAGAGCACTGACTACATCCATTGCTCAACAAGTAAGCAGTGAGAGCACTGACTACATCCATTACTCAACAAGTAAGCAGTGAGAGCACTGACTACCATCCATTACTCAACAAGTAAGCAGTGAGAGCACTGACTACCATCCATTACTCAACAAGTAAGCAGTGAGAGCACTGACTACCATCCATTACTCAACAAGTAAGCAGTGAGAGCACTGACTACCATCCATTACTCAACAAGTAAGCAGTGAGAGCACTGACTACATCCATTACTCAACAAGTAAGCAGCTACAGCACTGACTACCATCCATTACTCAACAAGTAAGCAGTGAGAGCACTGACTACCATCCATTACTCAACAAGTAAGCAGTGAGAGCACTGACTACCATCCATTACTCAACAAGTAAGCAGTGAGAGCACTGACTACCATTCATTACTCAACAAGTAAGCTGCTAGAGCACTGACTACCATCCATTGCTCAACAAGTAAGCAGTGATAGCACTGACTACCATCCATTACTCAACAAGTAAGCAGTGAGAGCACTGACTATCATCTTTTGTGTGTCTCTGAAATCCTGAATATTGAAATCGGTGATTGTTTAGTTTAACAGAGACTTTGTGTAGAGAAATGTCATATGTGTTATTGCAAACTAATTATGAAACCTTTTGGCATGATTGAAAATACTTTATGTTCATTGATGCAATTTGGCTCAATTTACCTGTACTCCTAGCAAAGCAAAGTGGCAAGATGTTGATTGTTGTTTAACGCTGCTCTCAGCAATGTTCCAGTGATATGACGGCAGTCGGTAATAATCGAGTCTAGACCAGACAATCCAGTGATTGATATCAAGAGCATAGGGAAATGATGACAGTGAAACTGACCAACCAATCCCATTAGTCACCTTTTACCAGTGTGGCAAGAGTCAGTAAATCAGAGCTGTTGCTCACACTATCAAATATTGTTTGACTGCTCTCAGCTGGATGCATAGACTGCTGTAAGACTGTAATATTACTAACTAACAGGATAAAACTGTCTTTTCTTCATCCCTTTTAGATTAAAAATGAGGCTTTTGAAACTAATTGCACCCAATGCATCATCTGGCTGTTTGATTGTGTGGCTGTCCTGGTTTAGGTGACAGATTTTGGATTATCGAAATTTGTCGATGCTGGGTCTCTTATGAAGACTTTCTGTGGCACGCCTACCTACCTGGCACCGGAGATCCTGATCACTGCCGGAAGTGGAACATACACCAAAGCCATTGACGCCTGGAGTCTGGGAGTTATCCTGTTTATTATGTGAGTGAGTCGAGCCATATCTCCCAGTGTTGACACACATCAGATATTGTCAGATACCTTCAAATATTTCTTATTAATGTTACTACAGGATTATTTCATCCATGTTTGCTTCTCTAGCCAATAGAAAATCTCTTCTTGAATATAGTTGCAGTATTTCTTAGAAGCTCTGTAGATGGGTTGATGAGGTGATGTAGGCTGATGGGATGAAGTGACCCCAGTCTGTGTTGATGGTTGACTTTCCTAATCTCTGGGAATACTAAAGTTCAGCTACCATGTCCCACCAGTTGTTGATCACTTCAAGCTTCTGTAGCTACATGACCATGTCCCACCCAGCTGTTGATCTCTTCCAGCTTCTGTAGCTACATGACCCTGTCCCACCCAGTTATTGATCTCTTCTAGCTTCTGTAGCTACATGTCCATGTCCCACCCAGTTGTTGATGTCTTCTAGCTTCTGTAGCTACATGACCTTGTCCCACCTAGTTGTTGATCTCTTCTAGCTTCTGTAGCTACATGACCATGTCCCACCCAGTTGTTGATCTCTTCCAGCTTCTGTAGCTACATGACCCTGTCCCACCCAGTTGTTGATCTCTTCCAGCTTCTGTAGCTACATGACCCTGTCCCACCCAGTTGTTGATCTCTTCCAGCTTCTGTAACTAAATGACCTTGTCCCACCCAGTTGTTGATCTCTTCCAGCTTCTGTAGCTACATGACCTTGTCCCACCCAGTTGTTGATCTCTTCCAGCTTCTGTAGCTACATGACCATGTCCCACCCAGTTGTTGATCACTTCTAGCTTCTGTAGCTACATGACCATGTCCCATCAAGTTGTTGATCTCTTCCAGCTTCTGTAGCTACATGACCATGTCCCACCCAGTTGTTGAACTCTTCTAGCTTCTGTAGCTACATGACCATGTCCCACCCAGTTGTTGATCTCTTCCAGCTTCTGTAGCTACATGACCATGTCCCACCCAGTTGTTGATCTCTTCTAGCTTCTGTAGCTACATGACCATGTCCCACCCAGTTGTTGATCTCTTCCAGCTTCTGTAGCTACATGACCATGTCCCACCCAGTTGTTGATCTCTTCCAGCTTCTGTAGCTGCATGACCATGTCCCACCCAGTTGTTGATCTCTCCCAGCTTCTTTAGCTACATGACCCTGTCCCACCCAGTTGTTGATCTCTTCCAGCTTCTGTAGCTACATGACCATGTCCCACCCAGTTGTTGATCACTTCTAGCTTCTGTAGCTACATGACCATGTCCCATCAAGTTGTTGATCTCTTCCAGCTTCTGTAGCTACATGACAATGTCCCACCCAGTTGTTGATCTCTTGCAGCTTCTGTAGCTACATGACCATGTCCCACCCAGTTGTTGATCTCTTCTAGCTTCTGTAGCTACATGACCATGTCCCACCCAGTTGTTGATCTCTTCCATGGCTGTTTATTATATGCATGTATTTAAACATGGCTGTTTATTATGTGCATGTATTGAAACATGGCTGTTTATTATGTGCATGTATTGAAACATGGCAGTTTATTATGTGCATGTATTGAAACATTTCTGTTTACTATGTGCATGTATTGAAAGATGGCTGTTTATTATGTACATGTATTGAAACATGGCTGTTTATTATGTGCATGTATTTAAACATGGCTGTTTATTATGTGCTTGTATTTAAACATTTCTGTTTACTATGTGCATGTATTGAAACATGGCTGTTTATTATGTGCTTGTATTGAAACATGGTTGTTTATTATGTGCATGTATTTAAACATGGCTGTTTATTATGTGCTTGTATTTAAACATGGCTGTTTATTATGTGCTTGTATTTAAACATGGCTGTTTATTATTTGCTTGTATTGAAACATGGTTGTTTATTATGTGCATGTATTTAAACATGGCTGTTTACCCCATTTTCAAGGTCACAGCAGGCAAATCTGCTTTTGGAGTTGGAAAACGGTGTTGCCGCGATATCTCAAGAATTAAACACTGGATTGTCTTCATATTTGGAACTATGGTGTATATACAGACTCCGCAGACACCAGTCGGTTTTGGTGACCTTGACCCCATTTTCAAGGTCACAGCAGGCAAATCTACTTTTGGAGTTGGAAAACGGTGTTGCCGCGATATCTCAAGAACTAAACACTGGATTGTCTTCATATTTGGAACTATGGTGTATATACAGACACCGCATACACCAGTCGGTTTTGGTGACCTTGACCCCATTTTCAAGGTCACAGCAGGCAAATCTGCTTTTGGAGTTGGAAAACGGTGTTGCCGCAATATCTCAAGAACTAATCGCTGGATTGTCTTCATATTTGGTACTATGGTGTAATACAGGCGGGGGACATTTCGTCACTTTGTGACAAATACTTGTTATGTGCTTGTATTGAAACATCAACATGTTTATTATAGGCATGTTTTTAAACATGGCTGTTTATTATGTGCTTGTTTATAAATATGGCTTCTATTGCAGGCTGTCTGGTTATCCACCTTTCTCGGACGAGAGGAAGGACATGGACCTCCCTAAACAGATTATGGGTGGACACTTCAGCTTCCCCCCTCAGTACTGGGAGGGGGTGCCAGAAACAGGTCAGTTGCAGGGGGAGGGGTGCCACAAACATGTCAGTGGCACGGGGAGGGGTTGCCAGAAACAGGTCACTGGCTGTGGGAGGTGGTGCCACATCAGTTGCAGGAGGAGGGGGTGCCACAAACAGGTCAGTGGCAGTGGGAGGGGGTGCCTCAAACAGGTTAGTGGCCGTGAGAGGGGGTGCCTCAAACAGGTTAGTGGCCGTGGGAAGGGCTGCCAGGAACAGGTCAGTGGTAGCAGGAGGGGATGCCACAAACAGGTCAGTGTGAGCGGGAGGGGGTGCCACATACAGGTCAGTGGGAGGGGGTGCCTCAAACAGGTTAGTTGGAGGGGGAGGGGGTGCCTCAAACAGGTCAGTGGCAGCGGGAGGGGGTGCCACATACAGGTCAGTGGGAGGGGGTGCCACATACAGGTCAGTGGGAGGGGGTGCCTCAAACAGGTTAGTTGGAAGGCGAGGGGGTGCCTCAAACAGGTCAGTGGCAGCAGGAGGGGATGCCACAAACAGGTCAGTGCGAGCGGGAGGGGGTGCCACATACAGGTCAGTGGGAGGGGGTGCCTCAAACAGGTTAGTTGGAGGGCGAGGGGGTGCCTCAAACAGGTCAGTGGCAGCAGGAGGGGATGCCACAAACAGGTCAGTGCGAGCGGGAGGGGGTGCCACATACAGGTCAGTGCGAGCGGGAGGGGGTGCCTCAAACAGGTTAGTTGGAGGGGGAGGGGGTGCCTCAAACAGGTCAGTGGCAGCGGGAGGGGGTGCCAGAATCAGGTCAGTCGCTCTGGGAGGGGGTACCACAAACAGGTCAGTGGCAGGGGCAGGGGTGCCACAAACAGGTCAGTGGCAGGGGGAGTGGGTGCCAGGAACAGGTCAGTGGCAGCTGGAGTGGGTACAATAAACAGGTCAGTGGCAGTGGGAGGGATGGGGCCAACAGCATGCCATCTCCATCACTGTATCCATGTTTACCATTTTTCACACATGTAAGACCAACATCAGCATGAATATTTCCAGACTTTTCATTTCATATTTACCTGAGAATATACTGCCTCAATTCCTACCAGTGATGATCATACATAAAGTATCTCAGATACTGGCTAGATGCCTGGCACTGCCTTCCATCACTGATAACCCAAGGCTACTGGCTAATTTTCTGTCAACATGTTTACCAAATATAAGCCTCGCAGTATGTTGAGGATGTGTTGTCATTGTTCATAAAACTGTATTGCAGCCATTGATTTGATCAAGAAGTTGATGACAGTTGATCCAAAGAAGAGAATCACGCTTTCAGAGGCCTTGCAACATCCGTGGTTTAAGGTGAGTTGTCATGCTAACTGTTTTCAGATTGGTTGTATATTTTAATATGTACATACCGCTGCCGCTGGGCAGAAAGATGTATATTCCCCACACCCCTAGCGTGATTCTAGGCGTTTTCTGCATGTAACAAATTGAAATAGGTCGTTCATAAGAAGTTTGCCCTGATTATGTTTGTTGCTTTATCACCAGACCAATGGGCTTGTTGGCTTCACAAAATAACTGCTCCATTTGAGGATGTCCTCCCACATCAAGTTGATGTGCCTTCATGTAACTGATATACTCATGTAACTCACACATTCATTCAAAAAGTTAAATAAAATATTCTGAAATAGGTCCAGGTCATTGTTCTGTCGTTTCAGGATGAGGAGATGAAGATCAAGGCCAATCAACTGATGTACCCAGAAGCAGACGGAATGGTGCCCCCGACGATGGTGGTCAGTATTCTTTCAGTGTCTTCCGCATTGTCCATCGGACAGGGTCAGTGGTGTAGCCTAGTGGTGTAGCCTAGTGGTTCAAGCATCACCTCTCGTAGTGGTGTGGCCTAGTGGTTGAAGCATCACCTCTCACATTGGTGTGGCCTAGTGGTTGAAGCATCACCTCTCGTAGTGGTGTGGTTGAAGCATCATCACCTCTCACATTGGTGTAACCTAGTGGTTGAAGCATCACCTCTTGTAGTGGTGTGGCCTAGTGGTTGAACCATCATCACCTCTCACACTGGTGTAGCCTAGTGGTTGAAGCATCACCTCTCACAGTGGTGTGGTCTAGTGATTAAAGCATCATCACTTCTCACAGTGGTGTAGCCTAGTGGTTGAAGCATCATCTCTCGTAGTGGTTTGGCCTAGTGGTTGAAGAATCACCTCTCACAGTGGTGTGGCCTAGTGGTTGAAGCATCATCACCTCTCACAGTGGTGTAGCCTAGTGGTTAAAGCATCACCTCTCACCTTGGTGTGGTCTAGTGGTTGAAGCATCACCTTTCGCAGTGGTGTAGCCTAGTGGTTGAAGCATCACCTTTCGCAGTGGTGTAGCCTAGTGGTTGAAGCATCACCTCTCACAGTGGTGTGGTCTAGTGGTTGAAGCATCACCTTTCACAGTGGTGTAGCCTAGTGGTTGAAGCATCACCTCTCACTGTGGTGTGGTCTAGTGGTTGAAGCATCACCTCTCACAGTGGAGTGGTTGAAGCATCACCTCTCACAGTGGTGTTGTCTAGTGGTTGAAGCATCACCTCTCACAGTGGTGTGGTCTAGGGTTTGAAACACAACCTCTCACAGTGGTGTAGCCTAGTGGTTGAAGCATCACCTCCCACTGTGGTTTGATATAGTGGTTGAAGCATCACCTATCACAGTGGTGTAACCTAGTGGTTGAAGCATCACCTCTCACTGTGGTGTGGTCTAGTGGTTGAAGCATCACCTCTCACTGTGGTGTGGTCTAGTGGTTGAAGCATCACCTCTCACTGTGGTTTGATCTAGTGGTTGAAGCATCACCTCTCACAGTGGTGTTGCCTAGTTGTTGAAGCATCACCTCTCACTGTGGTGTAACCTAGTGGTTGAAGCATCACCTCTCGTAGTGGTTTGGCCTAGTGGTTGAAGCATCACCTCTCACTGTGGTGTGGTCTAGTGGTTGAAGCATCACCTCTCACTGTCGTGTGGTCTAGTGGTTGAAGCATCACCTCTCACTGTGGTTTGATCTAGTGGTTGAAGCATCACCTCTCACAGTGGTGTGGTCTAGTGGTTGAAGCATCACCTCTCACTGTGGTGTGGTCTAGTGGTTGAAGCATCACCTCTCACAGTGGTGTGGTCTAGTGGTTGAAGCATCACCTTTCGCAGTGGTGTGGCCTAGTGGTTGAAGCATCACCTCTCACTGTGGTGTGGTCTAGTGGTTGAAGCATCACCTCTCACAGTGGTGTGGTCTAGTGGTTGAAGCATCACCTCTCACAGTGGTGTTGTCTAGTGGTTTAAGCATCACCTCTAGAAGTGGTGTGGTCTAGGGTTTGAAACACAACCTCTCACAGTGGTGTAGCCTAGTGGTTGAAGCATCACCTCTCACTGTGGTTTGATATAGTGGTTGAAGCATCACCTATCACAGTGGTGTAACCTAGTGGTTGAAGCATCACCTTTCACAGTGGTGTGGCCTAGTGGTTGAAGCATCACCTCTCACTGTGGTGTGGTCTAGTGGTTGAAGCATCACCTCTCACTGTGGTGTGGTCTAGTGGTTGAAGCATCACCTCTCACTGTGGTTTGATCTAGTGGTTGAAGCATCACCTCTCACAGTGGTGTTGCCTAGTTGTTGAAGCATCACCTCTCACTGTGGTGTGGTCTAGTGGTTGAAGCATCATCACCTCTCACAGTGGTGTGGTCTAGTGGTTGAAGCATCACCCCTCACAGTGGTGTGGTCTAGTTGTTGAAGCATCACCTCTCACAGTGGTGTGGTTTAGTGGTTGAAGCATCACCTCTCACAGTGGTGTGGTCTAGTGTTTGAAGCATCACCTCTCACAGTGGAGTGGTCTAGTGGTTGAAGCATCACCTCTCACAGTGGTGTTGCCTAGTTGTTGAAGCATCACCTCTCACTGTGGTGTGGTCTAGTGGTTGAAGCATCATCACCTCTCACAGTGGTGTGGTCTAGTGGTTGAAGCATCACCCCTCACAGTGGTGTGGTCTAGTTGTTGAAGCATCACCTCTCACAGTGGTGTGGTTTAGTGGTTGAAGCATCACCTCTCACAGTGGTGTGGTCTAGTGTTTGAAGCATCACCTCTCACAGTGGAGTGGTCTAGTGGTTGAATCATAACCTCTCACAGTGGTGTAGCCTAGTGGTTGAAGCATCACCTCTCACAGTGGTGTTGCCTAGTGGTTGAAACATCACCTCTCACTGTTGTGTTGTCTAGTGGTTGCAGCATCACCTCTCACAGCGGTGTGGTCTAGTGATTGAAGCATCACCTCTCACAGTGGTGTAGCCTAGTGGTTGAAGCATCACCTCTCACAGTGCTGTGGCCTAGTGGTTGAAGCATCACCTCTCACAGTGGTGTGGTCTAGTGGTTGAAGCATCACCTCTCACAGTCGTGTAGCCTAGTGGTTGAAGCATCACCTCTCACTCTGGTGTGGTCTAGTGGTTGAAGCATCTATTTGTCTAGCCTTTTTTTTTTTTGTCTAGCCACAGTGCTGTTCACAGTTTGATTTTGTATGTGAAGCCCATTTCTGGTGTTGCCTGCCTTTATGTGGCTGGAATATTGCTAAAACTGACATAAAACCCTCCTCACTCACTGAATGATTGTAGGCCATTAAAGGTAGTCTTTATCGCAAGCTTTTCAGTCAGTTTCAGATTGTGCTAAATGGTCTATGTATGAGATACTGTTGTTTTTTATCATGTATTTGATTCGTACAAACTGTTTATGTTAGCCTTGTTTTTTTTTATGTTCAAAATAGTCATTAAAACAAAATGTGACTTCACCATAGAGTGCACTCTATCAACCAATGGAGGATGTTATGTAGTACCATGACAAACAACTTATTTTAATAGCACAATGTAGAGAAAGAGGCTATTTCTGTCAAATTTGGATCAAGTTGAATATGAAATGAATGTTATTCATGGGGGCATGTCAATTAAAAGTGTTATGTAGCAACAATGTATGCATATGCAATGATTAGGCCAGAAGACTTCAGGGACTTTGTCTTTTGAGTTAAGTATCTTTAAGACTTGAAATGGCATCATATAAATTAGCCCCTTGGTGTGGGAACAGTTAATTCCTAACTCCCACCACCTTCTCGTGTGGAATCAGCGATGTTGTTCTAGTGATATTTACTATAGCATTCTTGTTTTCTCCTCCACTAGCCAGTGGGCAAGAAGAGGACGATGGATGGATGTGGCGAGGAGCCGCCCACTAAAAGGAAAGGCTCAGCAGACACCACGTCCCCTCCGGAAACACCCTGAACAAAGAGTATGTGCTGTCCTGACTGTGGATGTCAGGCTCGGACCTTGGGGCTTGCTGCTCTCACACTACACCTGTCCTGAAATCACACATCACCTTGGCTCGGACCTTGGGGCTTGCTGCTCTCACACTACACCTGTCCTGAAATCACACATCACCTTGGCTCGGACCATGGGGGCTTAGGCTATTCACTTTCCATTCTGCAATCTGAAATATAGATATACTGAAATATTAACTAATAAGAACAGGGAAACATTCAGGAAGAGACCATACCCTTCAAGCTGAGCACATTTGTGATGTTGATGTAATATCAGCTACTTAGTATCAGTACTGATATCATAACATACCTTAGCACCAGTATTGATATGCCAGACAGTTAAGTATGAGTACTTGTCAGATCAATGTCTTATATCTCAGTACTGATATCAATGGAACAAGTTTGTATTATTAAAACTGTGGAAAGTAGTAAGGTGGGCATGTGCTTACATTCTGGCATGAAATGAGCTTGTCAGGAGTGAATGTAAGTTCTTCAGCAGCTGGGCAGGACGAGTGTGTGTGTTCCATCTGTGACTGTTGACCAAAACACTCACTGTGTTGTGGCTTACAGAGACACTGGCAACAGAAATGTCTTCTCATCATGACAATCAGAAATAGAAAGAATTTCTCAATCAAAATTAATGTGTTGGTGTTGATGTCGCTGATTCCATTGGACAGGGAAACAGGCATGTGTATCAGATTCTCTGTTGTAGAGGACTTGTATCTGTTATATGCTTAAATCCTTCTGTCATTTGATAATGCCTTCGTCTTACCAGTAGGGATAAGGGTGCCCTTAGTCTAAGGTGCCACAATTCGCTGTGCAGAGTTGCATCCCTTTGGCATGCCAGAAACCTATGTTTATGGGTATGAATCCCAGTTCATCTTGATTATGTCTCCAGGTTTGTCAGCACTATGCCCATGCTTGTGGGTTTCACCGAAGTGGTAAATGTCTGAAACTCTAACTCATGACTCTAACTTTCCTCCCACATTATGACGACTCACCGTGATATAACTGGAATACTGTTCAAAGCTGTGTCAAAGCCACGTCACTCACTTATTCTTTATTGAACATTTAATTATTTTTTTGCGAATTCAGGATTTTTTACATCATTGTTATTGCCCTATTATTTATATTGTTCTGTGATTTCAACCGTTTTGCATTTAGACAAGACACTTTATGTGGTTGGTCTTCAGTGTTGTGCCTGGGCTGCAGCAGAACCATGCTTGCTGATACAGCAACATCACATCCATAACAGATGTCAGCGTATATATCTGTCATATCGGACCATGGACCACGAAGTAGTGGTTACCGTGGTTACAATTACATCAAAATCATAAGTATAAATATACATAAAATTTGGCATTGATGTGTTGTGATAGTTCTTCTTCTGTTGACTTCTTAAAGATTTATTCAGTCTTTTTCCTGTTTCCAGTGTATAATTAACTGTGAAGAGATCATACATACAACATGTTAGCAGAACAGTTCCTCACGCTCTTGTAAGTGGCATTATGCTTAATTATAGTTAAGCTTTTTTAATTTCATCTCATTTCAAAATGTTCAATTTGACATTTCTAAATATATCACATTCTTCACAAATTTTTAAGGATTTTGTTGGATGTAGTTTTTACATTAATTTTCCATTGTAAATATGACCATACATGTATTTGGAAAATTGTTGGACATGTCTGATGTGTATTCATTTTCCCTCATCTTCCATAGAATGATAGTAAGTGGTAATCACTATTTGAAACAATACCAGCAAGTGAGCACGATATTTCTCAATATGTGGAAAGTAGTGTCATTTTAACCTAAGCATGTTGAAGATGCAATGAGGCCCATGGTACTTTGTTTGTTCATGGTCACAGTGATGCAGTTGGCAGAACTTAATGGCATGTGTTTAGTTTGTCATACCCGCATCAGCATGTTTGCCCACTACCACATTAAAGCTTGCTTTGATAGAATACTACTATGTGTGCATGTATGGAAAATGTAATTTTCAGTCTGGTGAGGCATTTTAGTTACTAGTTTATGGATCTTTGTTCCCAAATGTGGAATGGGGATTTGAGAACTATCATTTTTCTTCATTTTTAGATTCCTTCTTTGTAGTTTGCATGGAATATTACAACAAACCTTTTTAGACATACTCGCTCACATAACACATGTAACATATGTATTTACTCAAGTAGGTCTTCACTTTTGTGAAGTGTTGGCGACACTTGAATCCTTCCTCTGTTAAGTCTCCCTTTAAGAACTCCCTCAGGTTAACCCACCAACTCTATGCTGATTTCACCTGCCACAAGCTAGTTCCCATTTTGTTTTAGGTGAGAAGCCATTCTGTTACATTTATCCTAGATCCTTCCTACGCTGTAAGGATATCCCGACCCACATTAAACACAGTAGGTAGAACTCATCATTTATCATGCCATGCCGTGTGGTGGCTAACTAGTGGGACTTGATGGACCAATGTTGAAGCTGGTATTGAGCCCACCAGTTGTGTTCCTGTCTCAGCTTTAATGTTTATGAAGATGACCCAGTTAAGGTTGTATCAGATACAAATGCAACAGGGTTTACAACCTTTGCACAGAATATCAGACAATATTGGGCAGGCTTAAGTGCAGTTTGGGAAAAATTTCAAAGTTGAAAGATCAGATTTTTATGTGGTCTGTTTTGTTTCATATTCAATTAGGTAAATATTTCATTAATGTTCAAATTTGTTTTATAATTCTTTACCTCATCAAAGTCAAATGTTGCAGTAATACTGTTGAAAGCAGAATTAAACCCAATCAGGCTCAGTAGGTATTGAGAACTACACTGATCCTGGGGACTTACAAAGTACAGTGTGGTTGAGGTCTAGTGTGAGCAGGACTAATGTATGCTTGCCGGATGGAAGCCCTTCTATCAGACAGGTTCTTGGTAGTTTTTGCATTGCATCACATTTTGTTACGAGTAAGGATTTATATATTCTGATTCATTTCCAACTGATGCTTGTGTGTGATATTTTCCCACAGGGTAACATATGACAAGTGCCGTATCATGTTTTGGGATTTTTTACCAATAACTCAAGTTCTCAAACTACCCCCAAAAATAAAAATCTGGTCTTTCACTTTTTATTTAACCCTTACTTGGACTACATATGTGTGTTCCTGTTGGATTTCTTTACTGTGTATAACAACCAGGATGTCATGGTGGTGTTGATGTTGTATATACTGTATTATAACTGGCTCTCTTGCCAGAACAAGAGGTGCATGGGTGTCTGTTTTTATAATCATATTGATGTGAATGATTTAGTCATGGTAACGTGGAATAAAAGTATGACACTGGTGTACTTGCTGTGTTGAATATGGCATGTATGATAGCCTAGTGGTTATCATCTTCCTGATGCAAGAGAGTTAACTGACTATAAAAGTAAAGTTTCCATCCTTGCCGAACTAGGCTGGTATTATGGAGTTACATTTTGACTGGACTAACCAAATCGAAATCCATTTCGTAAACTGTCGTGCAGATTTCAGTCGACTGAAGGATTTGCAAAGCATGTGCACCGCCAACTCGTCAACAGAAATTTTCCAAATCTTTTCATGTTTTTAATCAAGGTGCTCACATGATTTGATGCATTTCACAATATAGATCTTGATTATTGATCGGATCGTCCTGACTGGGCGCCACCATTTTGCTTGAAACAATGCAAGTGATACAAAAGGTGCAATCTGATTGGTCCATAGGAGAGGTTTATAAGGGACATAACTCGTAATAGCCACTGGTGGCGCTACGATCGAGCCATGGAATTCCAGCCTAGATCGGCAAAGGTGGAAACTGGATTTTTAAAGTCAGTTAATTCACTTGCCTCAGGAAGATGAATGGTTATAGTATTTGCCCCTCTTGCCAAAGGCTCGGTTCAGATTTCTTCCTCACGCCTGGCTTACCCCGAGAACCTTCTGTAACGCCTCAATCGGTGGTTATTAGAGTAGAGAAGCCAGCTACAGTCATGTCTTATCTCTATGACGTGCGCCACGATCTTCAGAGAAGTCCGATGAATTCTACGTCTGCTACACATCTGCAAGGAACAGATTAGAACATTCGCTTGAGAGTCCCAGAGATGTTGATGGACAAGCGCTGCGATATTCAGGGGCGATGTATTTTTCGATGTTCAAACCTTCCAGATGATTAGAAAAGGTTTGGCGATCTGATGTGAGCATTAGGCTTTGTGAACCCCTCATCATTCGACGAATCTTTTCCTGTTGGATAGGCAGAGGTTCGACGATCTGGATCTGGATCGTCACCTTTCACATGATCGGGGCCTTTGAGAGAGAGAAGATATATGAGATCCTGGGATGAATCTGTATCAGAAGGATCGGGAATTTCACTTCTCTTTGATAGACATCGTCTAGAATGAGAGGATTGACAGGAAATTTGAACGAACCTCCACCAGAACGATCGACAGAGATTCGACAATTATGATCGTGACCAACAGCTTCGTTGAGAGGTGGATGGTCATCAGGATCAGACTTAGAGGTTCGACAGGACATTAGAGGTTCGGGTGCCTACTTCGCAGTTACCTACGTCCGAGGATCATCAATCGTTCATCGCTCTTCTCACCCACTGATCTTCACGCTCTAGTCCAAGCTATGTCAACAGTTCTCGGGAACAGTCAAGACCGTCTCCGTGGTCTGGTGGTGGAGCATTCGCCTGAAAAGCGGGGTATTCATGTTAAACTGCGGCATGGTATCTCCGTTGGCTATCACTATAAAAATCGGCATTAGCCCGGACAAGTACAAGCACACACACACAAGCGCGCGCACACACGTGCATGAAGTCGTATAAGTGCAATGATCTTGGACGCGACGTTAAACCCCATTTCACCTCACCTCTGGTGCCACTGCTATTCTATGTAATGATACATTCACGTGGAGTGCAAAGTCGTCGCTCGTACTTACTCTCTACACGAAGCCCACTATGAAATGAGGGTGGCTAGACGAGAGTGGACAATAGGCCACATTTTAGACGTTTTACACCGAATATCAAATTACATTCTATAAACATGTTCGTCCAATTATTGATAAACTACTTTACAATGGACGTTGTGTTGCTTCTTCATCTGATAAATGTAAACTGTGGGATGACTCTTATTCAGACGTAGCAAAACCTCACCACTGATGATTTTCAGAAAAAAAACTTTTAACGCACCATTGTATCAAAAAAGAATATATCATAAAGAAGAAAATCGTCGTAAACATGTTACACTAGATGCTGTCTTATATAGAGTAATCCACGCCTCAGTAATCGGATCACATATACACATTCTGAAAAGAAAAACTCTCCAGGACCTGATAGTGTCACAAATGAGCACCTAATTCTTTAGAATATTAGAACCTATTCAATCATATGCTTGTATCCCCGTGCTATCCATGTGCCTTCAGACAAGGTACGATAATACTTCGTTATAAAGGCAAAAACGACAAACATGATCCCCGCAATTACAGGGACATAACTCTTACATCGCGTCTATCGAAACTCTTTGAGAACATCATTTTAAGTGGAATAGAAAAATACACACTAAGTAACCCACACAATCCCCCCCCCCCCCCCCCCGGTGTTTTCTAATTTGGTTTCAGAAAAAATTTGGATTGTCCGTTTTAGAATGTGTTAATTTCTACCAAGAAAGAGAATCGCAAGTTTTTTCAGCGTTTTTTAGATAATGAAAAGGCTTTCGATCGTATTTGGCATGATGGTCTGTTTGTCAGGTTACATGACCTTGGTGTCAAGGGTAACTTATGGATCCTACTTGTCCATAGCTATGCCGACAACCGGGGTTTATATCACCCAACGGAGAAAGATCTGATGAGTTTCCTATTAATTAAGGTGCTGGACAAGGTAGTGTTATATCAGCATGGTTCTTTTTCGTTTTCGTTTAAATTAAGGAAAGCAAACAATTGCCTCTCTGTTCATGGAATTTATATATCCTGTGTTTAATTGGCCGATGATATAACACTCTTGTCTACAACCCTAGCGGCTTACAGTCTTCACTTGATGCAGTTCGTTTATTTCTGTTATGATATATCAACATTATGTACAGCCTCTTTAGAATGCTAAAGAATTATAAGCTTTTGAAACATTTACCCGTTTATTATTAATGATGACTCCCTAAATACAGTCCAACCCCGTCAATGTCGGACAACTCTATTTTATGAACAGGGGGGTTAGTTTTGTATTTCCCGAATATTCTCACAATTTTCACGTCCACCATCTGTACCATACTGATTGTTATACCTCTCCCGCTTTGGGATGCGATCGTTCGGCCATTGCGTTTATCTGCGTTGCCCTGCTACATCTATGGGGAAAACTCACTTGACACTTCCTTCTACAAAATAACGTCGTCCAATTTACGACGTCATCAAGTTGCGAGGGCATGTTCAAATATCCAGAAATGACGTCATGATAGAACAATGTTTGATCGTGAAATAAACCAGTTGCGATTTATCGCGTAGCTATCTTACACATGGAGACTCACCCATAATGCCTCGGAGAGTAAATCACTTGTTTTCTGTAAAACACGCCAGCTTCATAATAAAGTAAGCTACAAGTTTGGCGATGCTTCAAATGATTCACTGACTTGACAACTCTGACTGTCAAATATAGCGGAGTAACCATAAACAGTAACGTATTCGTAAAGACAGAGTCTTGACGTAATGCTCAAAAGCAAGAAAATGTGTTAATTCATTCCGACCACTTGGCCTTAAAGATTCTCATCTCCACTCTACACTTGTGTCAAAATATGGACTACAATGATTCTATCCACAAACTTTTATGGATGTGAATCGTTACCAGCATTACACGGAGTTTGAAATGATTGAATGTACACATCTTTGCTCGTCATTTACCATGGCTTGGAAAAAGACACCCAACAGATTCGTCTATTTCTAACTTTGGAATGTGGTCAATGAATGGCTATATAGATAAATGTAAATTACAAATATCAGGAAGGCTCTGCAATAACGTTTGTAACTCAACAACAAGGAATCCATTCTGTGCTCATATTGCTACCAACCATATTCTCAATATTAGTGAGTGAGTGAGTGAGTTTTACGCCGCTTTTGGCAATATTCCAGCAATACGACGGCGGGGGACACCAGAAATGAGCTTCACACATTGTACCCATGTCGGGAAGCGAACCCGGGTCATCGGCGTGACGAACTAACGCTTTAACCACTAGGCTACACGACCGCCCCTCTCAATATTAGCCGCCCGGTAAGCACATGCAGCAACCTTCTATATACATGTACTGCTGAAAGTATCATATAGACAAATATACTGAACCGCAAAAGAAACGTCGACCCAAGTAACATTACATGAAAAGTTGTCATTTAAATATCTGGGTAATTTTTGTCAAAGTTTCTAAAATTTAACATTACCTTGTCCGGAAAAATGAAATTTGATGATTAAAAAACAAAGCAGATGACAATAAAACTGATCTCCCAAACGCATCACGGCAACGGTCGTGGTAACCCGATGTACGTGAGTTCCGTGTAAATTGAAATGCACACGCGGTCCCCCATTTCTTGCCCTATAAAAATCCAACAAGATCGGATAACATTCATTCGTTATTGAATTGCTACCACATGCCAAGAAATCAGCGACACCAAGCCCTTGGACGATTGCAAGCTGGACATACCGCCCGGCAAGTAGCCAATGCATTTTAAGTCCACGTAAGGACCATGCACAGGCTCCAACAACGGTACCAGACCACCAACACTACAGATGAGCGACCACGTAGTGGAAGACCAAGGGTCACCACCCGGCGTCATGATCGTCAGATTGTGCGACAGCATCTTCAAGATCGCTTTGTTATTGCTGCGGAAACTGGTCGACAGACCATGGGGACACACCAGCGACACATTAGTGCGGACAGCGTGCGTCGACGATTGACGAGCAGACACCTCCACTGTCACAAGCTACACCGAGGACCCCTTCTGACACCACGTCATCGCCGGGACCATCTTCAGTGGGCAACACAGCACCAGCATTGGCGCCACTAGCAGTGGAGAAGAGTCCTCTTCTCAGACGAGAGCCGTTACTGTATCTCAAAAGCCGATGACAGGGTGAGAGCCTGGCGACGTCGTGGGGAACGTTATTCGGATGCTTGTATTGTTGAGAGAGACTCGTTTGCTGGGGTGGAATTGGTCTTGCACAGAGGATCGGCCCCGTGGTCTTCCAGAACATCGGTCCAGCGAGAGGCAATGGTGTCACAGCAGCTCGGTACATTGATCAAGTCTTGAGACCACACGCCATACCTCATTTGGCACGTCGCCGCAACCACGAGTTTCTGCATGATGACGCCCGTGCCCACACTGCGAGAGCAACAAGAGACTCCCTCCAGCAGAATGGCATCAGAACCATGCAATGGCCTGCCCTCAGTCCCGATTTAAGGTCCACTGAACTGCGTCAGGCGTTCCTCAGAGTGTGGGCTCAAGTGCCTATGGCCTTGATCAACCGCCTAATTCATTCCATGTTTCGACGTTGCACGGCAGTCATCAAGGCACATGGCGGACATACGAGATACTGACTTGTGATACCATTTTCTCAGAGACTAGTGTTGTGTTTCACTTGATGATCAGTTTTGCCAAGTTTCATCTTTTTAATATGTCTCAAAGTATGTTTACAGTGTTTGGAAAAATCAGGTTTCTCATATATCTATCCATGGTGACGTTTCTTTTGCGGTTCAGTATATATCAAAGAATATACTGATAGTGATTCACTCTCAACTAAGTCGGTTTGGCGAGCTATTGTAATCAGACGTCTGTCACAATGAACTAAACATTTGGAGAGAGATACCAGCACTGCGACCAGATCTCCCACGGTAAATACAATTCATACATGGTTACAAATGCATGTTCTTTATGATGGTTGGTTGGTTTGTTGTTTTATGCCGCACTCAGCAATATTCCTATATGACGGCGGTCTGTAAATAATGGAATCTGTACCAGACAATCCAGTGATTGACATCATGAGCATCGATCCCGCAATTGGGATCGATGACATGCTTCAACCAAGTCAGAGGGCCTGACCACCCGATCCTGTTAGTCTCCTCTTACGACAAGCATATTTGCCTTTTACGACAAGCATGGGTTGCTGAAGACCTTGTGTAGATGCAAGATTTCCTAATGTTTGAAAGTATGAACTGTTAGAAATGAAATGACATGAAATCAAGTTAAAATTATTACAATTGGTTTAACTTATTATCCATGGTGGTCCAATGATTAAGACACTTTATTATTACACTTATGTTCTAAAGTTCAATTTCCACGTCATATTAATCAATTCTAAGATAAGTGTATACAGTGTTTACATGTTCTCAGTAACTTTCCACTACCCTGTGACCTTAACCTTCATGTGCAATGTTAAAGCTCACAGGTCACGTCACGACCTCTTTAAAGCTCATGCATTTCGAAGCACATGCTCACCAGTGTGTATTGGACCTCCATGCTGCCAGGTTCTCACCTTACTGCCAGCTATATTTGAACTAAATACACATGTGAGTACCTTTCCCTTTCATTCTTAGGTTTTATGTTTATTTCTGAACACCCTGAAATTGTATATATGCCAAAATATTAATTTAGTTCAAAATTGTTTAGATATTTCACACAACTGTTACATTATATTTGCAAATGTGTGGTTGTTAATTTTGCATATTTCCAATGTAGTCAATGTATTTATTGCTTCAGTTGGATGTAATTTTGAATGTGTTTAATACTAGGAAAATTGGTAAATATTTTCTGAATTTACAGAAAGTTATTGTTTATTGTAGTTTTCTGAACCTCATCAACAGTTCAACTCATCAACAGTTCAACTCATCAACAGTTCAACTCATCAACAGTTCAACTCACCAACAGTTCAACTCACCAACAGTTCAACTCACCAACAGTTCAACTCACCAACAGTTCAACTCACCAACAGTTCAACTCACCAACATGGCTCCAAGTATAAACTGTAAACTGTCAAACGTCACGCAATAAACCCTGTTGATGCGAGTATTAGTTTTGTGTTCTTGCATCCACACCTAGTCTTCACGGGTTTCTTTATAATGTAATGCATATCTATATAATTGGGGGCGGTCGGGTAGCCAAGTGGTAAAGCGTTCGCTCGTCACGCCGAAGACCCGGGTTCGATTCCCGACATGGGTACAATATGTGATATTGCTGGAATATTGCTAAAAGCGGCGTAAAACCATACTCACTCACTCACTATATAATTGAAGTAATGAGAAAAAACTCGTAATTTCGAGAAAATAATTGATATAAGGAGAAAATAATCGAAAATTACGAGAAAACTCGAAGCAACGAGAAAATAATTGAAATAAACAGTAAATGATTCAAGAAACGAGAGAAAAAAATCGGAATTTCGATTAACGAGAGAGAAATCAAAATCACGAGAAAATAACTTTTTTAAATCGATTTTTTTTTAAAATAAGCTTGAATGACTAACAAAAATTGTGGCAACGAGAACAAGCTCGTAATTTGGGGTAAAATATAATATAATTAAAACAAGAATAACGAGAAACTAATCGAAATTACAAGAAAATAATCAAAGTAATGAAAAAAACAAATCGAAGTCACGAGAGAAAAAACATGAAGCAACGAGAAAATGATTGAAATAAACAGTAAATAATTCAAGTAATGAGAAAAAATCGGAGTGCCGACAAAATAGAAATTTCGAGTTTTAAAATTTGCTTGAAATATCGAGTAAATAAGGTAACGAGAACAACCTCGTAATTTCGACAAAATAATTGAAGTAATGAGAAAGTAATCGAATTAAGGAGAAAAAACACGAAGCAATGAGAAAATAATTGAAATATACAGTAAAAAAACCCGGAAAAATGGAATTTCGAATCTTGAAATAACGAGAGAAATCGAAATCACAAGAAAATAATCGAAGTAACGAAAGAATAATAAAAATTTCGAGTTTTTAATAAGCTTAAAATCACGGCAATATAATCGAGGTAAGGAGAACAAACTCGTAATTTCGAGAAAATAATTAAAATAACGAAACTAATCGAAATTACAAGAAATTAATCGAAACAATGAGGAAAAATCGAAGCAACGAGAAAATAATTGAAGTAATGAGAAAAAAATCTGAATTTCGAATTTGTTGAACTTGAACACACGAGAGAAAAATCGAAATTACGAGAAAATAATCAAAGTACTGAGAAAATCATCGAAATTTCGAGTTTTTGAAATAAACTTTAAATAACGAGAACATAATCGAAGCAACGAGGACAACTCTTAATTTCGAGAAAATAATTCAGATACGAGAATAAAGAGAAAATAATCGAAAATGCGAGAAAATAGTCGAAGTGACGAGAGAAAACACGAAATTTCGAGTGTTTTTAAATAACTTGAAATATAAACGAGAAACCAATTGAAATTGCCAAAACATAATCGAAATAACGAGAAAACACTCGGAAGTTCGAGAAAATAAAACAAATAATTGAAATAACGATAAAAATAAATATATATGGTACCAAAGTTGCACCATCAGGCTTTCATAATGTGGCACTGGTTCATTCTTATACTTGAAACAGACAATTTTAAATGTGTCCATGGTTGAATATTTTCGAGCCGAGGGATTTATTTGTACATGAGGTCCTGAAAAACTGATGCATTTACTTGACAAATCTCTTACTCTATGACGCCTTGTTTATATATATATGTTTAAAATGACAAATTTCTGAACCTGTGAAACTGTGGTGCCCTGGGGTGAAATGGGCTTTGATTCATAGACTTCTGTGTACGAAATGTTTTTGCGTCTATGCTAGGAAACAATCTTATCATTGTGCAGCATTTTCAATTGCTTGTGAGATATTGTACATGTGGCAGTTCCGAGTAACTAAGTGTTATTTATATACACAGCACCCGCAACGTTGGGTCAATAAATATTATCGATATTGTACTGTGTACTGTGTGTTGTGCTATTCAGAGGCAGTGCTCTGTTTCCCCGGGTGCAACTTCGACCCTCAGTTTACCCACTCTAACCTCACCAATATACTGTTTGCCAGGTTGCCAGGTTACAGTGAGACCTGACATTACAACATGTATCTGTTTGGATTTGGACGCAATTAACTATTTCTATTTTTGCTTATGGTATGTATGGCGTCAATTAACAAATGACAATTACTGTATATCAATATCGAGGCTATCAAGTCAATATTAACATAACACCATCCCACCATTGTGCTACAACACAGAGCGTGTAGAGAAAAGAGCCTGTCTGGTCGATTTGGGAGGAAGTTGACACAAGTAAAAGCAAGCCATTTACACAGAATTACCCTGAAATAGAACACACATTTATCTTATGTCATACGGCAACATCCAACCAATCAAATACAACTTCTCTAATCAATGGTACTCTCTGCAGTATAACAAGGGAGGAGTATCTATTATTCCCACAAGTATAAGCAGCGAAAGCGAAATGCAAAATAGCAGATGTGATGACAGTGTGTTGGGATAATCTGAAAACATGGTTAGGGTCCACCTGATGCTCCTGTTCGTTGTTTCAACCATACAATTAACATTCTCTGCCAGCATTGACGACTTAGATCACCTACGTCATCACCTATTCAACAACTACACCTCAGACATAAGACCATTGTTAAACCAGTCACAACCTCTTGTCTTGGATGTTAATTTCCAGTTCCAGAGAATCCATCGTATTGACAACACACAAAAGGAGTTCTCCATAGGGGAATACTGTCCCTTGCTTGGAAGGACGAGTTCCTCACGTGGATATCAACTCATTTCGGAGGTTTGAGACACTATCAACCAAAAAAAGTTAAATTTGCACTCAGAAGACGGTGTTGAAGACCAAGAGGTTATGAAAAAGCTAACAAGACGTGTGTTGTACAAAAATGGATCAGTTGTGGTTCATGTACCTGGTTATTTCTCAACCTTCTGTAATTTTGACATGATGTATTTCCCGTTTGACAGTCAGACTTGTAACATCCGTCTGAACTCCTTAGATCATTTTGCTGAAGAACTGGAACTCCGTCCTGTTTCAAAACAAGTGACAACCATTGGAAATAACATAGATGCTGAATGGACTGTGGTTTGGGCGACGATGACAAGTGATCAAATCACCCACAAGGGAATATTCCAATGTATCCAAAATATACAATTTTGTAAATTTGTTATATCCAAAAATATACGATTTCATATGTTTGATATATCTAAAGGATATCCAAGGTTCGTATATATTGATAGATTTTACCAAGGCAGCATTCAGTTTCTTTTTACTTTAGTAAGGGATTCTTTTGCTTCATACAGTATGTGGTTAATATTGAAAATATCACTTATGATTATGTACCGGACAGTAGTCTTGTGTATTTGACAATAATACTTAATTAAAGTAAACCCTTGTCGCAAACCTAACTTGAATATGAATGGTACAAAAATCAAAGATGTACAAAGTCATAAGCACCGAGGTATTACTTTACAAAGTAATTGTACAAAGAAAATGCACATTGATGATAATGTAAGGAAATGATGTCCTCTGGTTATTTGTTTCAGGAGTTATAAATATCGCCTATCCCGACCTACCTTAGAAACTATGTACAAATCATTTATTTTACCATTTTTTTATTATTGTTGTCATATTTGGGACAACTGTACTAGTGAACAAGCTAACTTATTGGAAATATTACACTTAGATACTCTTAGAACCATATGTGGCGCTGTCCGGGGTACGAGTCATCAGAAGATTTACAATGAAACAAATTTTAAGTCATTAAAAGACAGAAGATGTAATTCAAAACTGGTAATGTTTTACAAAATGAATAACCATTTATCCCCGGAATATCTTTGTAGGCTTATTCCTGATACAGTTTCAGAAAACACAAATTATGACTTAAGGGATAAAACTAATCTTCAAACAGTGAAATGTAAAACAAAAGCTTATGCAGATTCATTTATACCAGCTACAACACAACTTTGAAATATGTTACCAGATAGCAAACAGGGGCAGAGACCGTTACACAATCTAAGAATTTACTTCACGTAAAGGGAGATAATGGTATACACTGGTATAAAATTATGGAACAGATTATGTCAAATTATTCAGTCACCTCAGGCTTGGCTGCAGCGATCTTAACGCAGATCATTATGATTGATATATCTTGGATACAAAAACTTGTTCCTGTTGATATCACACCGAAGATGCTTTACACATTTTTGTGTGTGTACAAATTACTATGTTCTTCGAAATGAAATGTACTTTTACCAACATGGTTATTCTTTACAAACAGTGCTATGCGGAAATTCGTATTTGATCAATGAGTAAGGAAGAGCAAATCCTAATATTAGATTCTATTCAAAACTTTATATTAAAAACACCGCCTCCGTGGTCTAGTGGTAGAGCATCCGCCCGGAGAGCGGAAGGTCCGGGGTTCGATCCCCGGCCGCGTCATACCAAAAGACGTTAAAAGATGGTACTTGTACCTGTCTGGCGCTCGGCATTAAGGGGCTAAAACAAGGACTGGTCGGCTCGGAGTCAGTATACTGTGTCTGAGTGGGGTATTCATGTTAAACTGCGGCATGGTATCTCAGTGAGCTAGCACTATAAATCGGCATCAGTCCGGACTAGTACAAGCAGCCACACAAACACACACGCACATGCACGTCGCTATATAAGTGCAATAATCTTGGACGCGACGTTAAACCCCATTTCACCTCACCTCACCTTATATTAAAAACTGGCAGATTTTTAGTTGAATGAATTGTTTAATATAAACTGCAAATAGATGTATTCTATATACACATACACATAGCATGGCATGTACAATTCATTTAATACATCTAACCTTCACTGATGTATTTATTTGTAATATGTCGATTTCGAGCAATTCCTCGATTAGCATAATTAGAACAGAGTTTGTAATTGGTTATATCCGGACTCCAGTTAACGAGGGCAGCCGACCGTTTTCAGGATAGATTCATTTTCTCAGGAACTAGAAACAAACAAAAAATCGAGCCTAAGGGCT